CCTTTTACCCCTCCATCTTTTCCATTTCCCTTTGCCCACCCCTCTTCCCCCTTACAGTTATGGGACATTAGCCTGGTTGCCTGTAACACGGACACGTAAGTGTGAGCAAGTAAGTACACTGGCGTCGCCCCGCATGAGGAGAGATGCCGCGATCGGATCGATGGCAGGTGTCTTGTCACGCTTGTGTGTATCAGAAATTCAGAGCCCGATTCGAACCCCGAGCGAGTCAGGGACAGCAATTCAGCCGTCTGGGACGCGGAGATCACTCACATTAGACTAGCTTTTGCTTTTTGCAGGCTCAGATAGCAAAGAGAGAAATTCACGCTGGATTACCTAATGGAGGTTGTGACGGGCGGCCCTTCAAGCCACACCCGAAAGATTGCTTGACCGACCCCTTTTGTGGTGTCGGCAATGGTGGGTGTCGCTGATCAGTGGGCCGTGGCTCAATTCAGTCGTGGGTTTGGCCTCGTTTCATCGTCTCGTCTACTCTCTGCTCGGGGTCCACTGTGCTATGGTGCTATCGGGGTTAGCACTGGGAGATGGGGAGAAACCGCCCGAAGGGCAGAAGGGGGGTGGCAGGCAATGAGGGGAGGGGGAAAGCCTCAGGATTGGCTTACTGTAATTCGGTGGCTGTGCGCTGGAGACTCAGATAATAATCAACTTGATGGTGTCACCAAGTGTAAGAGTATCATGTGCGCGCATATGTGCGTGGTACCGTATAAAACCTCAAATATTGCAGAACGGTCTGCCCGGTGTCATGGTCGGCAGACGATTTATCCCATGGTCACCGTGTCAGCGGAAATGTCAGATAATCCCCGACCGAGCCTCGTTAGTGACAGGAAGGGCATTATTGCCAATTGCGAGCCAGTCGGTGGCTGCTAAGTTCCATTGCATGTGACAGGTAGAGCTCGTTCTTCATAGCTTCGTTCCATGGTAGTTGTCGGGTCTAGCGAGTTGTGTCCTGAGGAATCGAGGGCGATCGACGGATCTCCCAATTCGGCCTGTCTCAGTCAGGAAGGTAAGTCATGACTTCGAGATTCAGTATCAAAGCAACGTTACGATCCAAAGAAACCGAGCAATCTGACTTTTCGGTCCACGGCAGAACACCGATTACACCCCGTAGCTACGATCACAGGAGATCCATCTTCACATCGTTGAGGTTCCACTCAGACATGGAATAGGTCGTAGTGTTCAATAGTCCGCGGACTACTGTGCTGCTCATGTATGTAATCGGTAGACGGGACCAGGCACGGAGGGACAGGATATTTTAACCTCCTCGTACGGCAGTGACACGATCAAAGCTTAGTTGTCCACGCGACCGCGACAAGTAAGTAATCCACCCGGAACCTCCAGCGTATTCCCTGATCGGGAATATGGATGGGTTTAAGATAGTCCCATCCCAAGTGGAGAGAGAGAGAAACAGATCTGGAGCCAGCCACGATGGATAGCATCTTCTAGCTTCAAGTTTAAGGCCCGCGGGACCCTGATGGGTCGTGAAATCCTCGATCCCTTCTAGATTGTTCGCCTGGTTGGGTATGGAGTCTTCCAACGTATACTCAGTTGCTAGTGGGAGATCCTACCAGAGCCGCGGGCCCGTGGGCGGAGGGCGAGGGCGAGGGCGTGCCTAGTAATCACCCAACTAAAGTCTACGGTGTTGTATGGGTCGATCGTCCGACTATCGAATTTTAGCGGAGTTTCCGGGGGGGAGGTAGCTAGATAGTCTGCGATCTGCTCTCTTGATCGTGACTCATCTGGGCTTAATCAAATGGACAAAACAAACACACAGGCGAGATCTCAGGCGCCTGAAGCAGACAACCACCCCTACTTGAATCGGACAGATTAGACTCGGATTGCAGCGGCTTATCTCGGCAGTTCAATCCAGTGCCTGGCTTTTTAGAGTGGCTTTCCTGATAACTTTCTCTTTTATTTTATTCTTTTTTCCAACTGTAGGTTCCCGTAAGAGGGATACGATGACATCCCCATTCACTTTCAGCCCTCCTCATCCTATTGCTCCTGGTCTCACTAGACCAAACCGCATTGGTCGCAGCGGTTACCGGAGCCTGACGCCTGCTGCCCGGGCGTTGGTTGGATGTCTCCCGTCCAACGCTTCCCGGTGACTACACTTTTTTAACCATATACGGCCAGCTGCCGTGTGACATTCTTTTGGATGTATCGCTCAGCACCGGCGGTGACCTGAGTGGCAAGGTTTCGATGCATGGAGTGGACAGGTACTCCCGGGCGGCAAGACGGCGGACCTACTTAGGCGATGACTGACGGACTGTCGTTGGAATGGATACCTCATATGCAGGCTGCTTCAAGGATCTTCCCGGCCGAATCGGGGTGGTCCAAGAACTGAATCAAGGGGCAAGGCTGGATCCGACTGGGGAGACGCAAGTGTTCAATAGGCTGCTTGTGAAGCTCGCTTGCTTGGGTATTCTGGCTGATCTGCTTTTTCTTCAATTCATTTCAATGCGTTGTGATCTCTGCTGCGATGCAATCCTGGATGACTATCTGTGGGGATATGGGCTGAGACGAGACAATTAACCCGACCTACTAGTGCAGCAATGAGAGACCGAATGAGAGAGGGGAGAGAGGGGGGTTAGAGGTCAAGCCCGGGTGAAGATGCTGCAGTCTTTCACGATCAGACATGAGACAAGTCCGACTGTGTAACTCCACCACCCCCATTTCAGGGCTGAGGCTATTCTATTTTTGTTTGCAGTGCAGCTTTCTTAATATGGTGAAGGTGACCCAAAGGGTGAGAAGGAAACAGAACAAAAAGAAAAAAAAGAAACACCTTTCTTCTTATCGCATCAGCTGTGCGGTAAAATGCTCGATCTCTTCTTATTTTGGTTGGCTGCCCTTCTTTGAGGGGCAATATTCCAGGCTACTGCAGGGCTGACCGAAGAAGAGGATGATGATGATGGTGATGACAATGCCATTTGCATTTCAGGGCGATGCAGGGCGGATGGTCCACCATCAACTCTTTTTATTTCCCATCAGCAATTGGTATATTCTCTAGTTAATGCATTTGTGTCAATTCTTTTGATTCGAAACTAATTTATTAGACTTCTCTGACTCCAGAACAGGACAGGGACTTTGTTGTTGTTGTGGCTGCCCTGAGATCTGGCGGTGTAACCCTGTCCGCCAAGCGTGACGTACTCGAGTGTATTGGAATGAGGGCGCGGATGAAGAGAAAAGAGGAGGGATGAGTTATGGGCCTATGGAGGTTATTGAAGTTGGTGTTGAAGAGTGAGTGCCATTGAATGAAAAGCTGAATCGATGATGTTGGGTTGGTTTGTTTTGTTGAGACTGTGTCCCTATTCTCATCGTCATTTACTTTCCGATCTTCACCAATCATTGCAGGATTAAATCAAGGATATACTTCCTCTGCGTCTCTCTCTCACTGCTTCTCTAGTCTCTGACAGTACTTTTTCCTGGTGCTACCTGAGGCGTATTGGCTGCTAGTTAGTTCAACCTCACGCAGTACTACTCTGTGAAATTTATTATTACAGTAACTACAAATAGAAATCTCTCAATTCATCTTATATTTACTGGCTCTGATTGACAGACTGGCTGACTGAATGACTGATTATTAGTTTATGCCCAGCAAGTCAGTCAGCCATCATACTAAATAACTAACTAACTATATTTACTTTTTTTTCTTTTCTTTTTCTCTTCATTTCTTTTCCCCCCATCTCTTCCTTCATTCAATTCATCCAACTAGTTAGTAATTTACTTCCTTTTTTCTCATCTTGTTTTTTTTCCTGGCTCCATCACTTCTTCTTCGGCCACTCAAGCTCAATAGTGAGTCTCCATCTTTTCTTATCCATCACTGTTGATCATGCATGACATATCATCATCAGCCTGCTTGGACCCCGTCCTTCCTCGATTCCTCAACTGCGATCACTACCACCTTCTCCTCCCCATCTGCCTTTGCCAGCTCGTCCAAGTTGACCCATCCCAGTCTTCTCCAGGCATCAGGCCCGGATTTCCCTCGCAAGCTCTCCAGCACCAACTGCGCCCCCTTTTAATTCGTCAGCGGATGCATCGGTGGCTTTCGTCTATTTTCACTCTGCTTTCTGGCCTCGTTCCACTAATCTTATCCTCACGGGTCCTACTGTCCTCTCTGTTTCCATTTCCTCGGACATTCTTACTGCCTTTGCTATTCTTATTCTGGCCCTCCTTACTCTACCTGCCGCGGTTGCTGCTGCTGCTCCTTCAGCACCGACCTCAACACTTTTCGCCATCGGTGGGCCTCTTTCGATGTAGGAGGTCGATCAACCCGGGCGCTTGTCTTCCTGTCTTGACATAAAACCCACGAAGCACTGGTCTTCGATCTCTTATTTTTCCTGTGGATCGGCTTCTTTATTTCAAACAGTACGTGATTGTCTGATTAGCGATCGGGGTTGTCAAGGACGAACCAGTAAGCATAGTCCCCTTGGGCATCATTGGTCATACCCGGGCATGAGACCGTCAGACCAAACCCCGATACTTATATTCTAGCTTCTAGGCCACTACCCCCCCTGCTAACTCCGTCCATCTTGCGCATTGAAGCTTAAAGGACTCGGAACTAGTCCGTTTGATAGAAGATCACAAGCTTTTAAACTCACGGGGTCCACCTCCTCTTCATTCATTCTCCGAAATCTCAGGGGATCTGACATATCGAACCCTACTATACCACACTATCATGCCTTTCCCTCCACGCGAGAAGGGGCGGATGGCAAAATCTGGAAGGTCAGAAGAGGAATTTGTTCTATTCCTCCAGGGGGTATGTCTCGCACGTGGTACATCTCATACACGCGGCCTTGTCTAACCATGGGTGCAGATACCGGCGCACTGTCGTTGGCAAGAGCTCAAGGACCTAGTCCGCCAGACAGCCTTACATATCCGTCAAGCAGTGGTCTACGATGACCAGCATGGATTCCCAACCGGTCTTGGACAGATCATCGTGAAGAACGAAGACGAAGCATGGAGGACCTACCGTGCGTCATGAAACTCAGATGGTTAGAAATTAGCTGACAGGGTGCTTCTAGATAGGCTTTCTACCAACGGCTGGGAAGGCCAGAGCCTTGTTGTCACTTTAGCACGAACCAGCTCACCTACACGACCAATTGCTGGGCCCACGAAGAGTCCAACCTGCGTAATTCCGCCCAACTATGTACCAGGCTACTCAACTCCGCCACGATCAACACAAAACATGGCAGTGCCTCCGTCTCCCATTTCCCCCGAGTAAGTACAGGAAGTGGCTCCCCTTCTTCCTCAGGCGACAACTGACAACTCATAGACCTATCTTGTCTGCCAGTCCAAGCTGCCCGACATATCCAGCCACTGATTACGGCCCCATGGTCAATCCCCTAGCAATGCCTCAACAGCCTTTCATGCCTTTCCCCACAGACCCAGTCACACAACAGCCCATATCAGGCATCCCGCCCTCGCCCGCTCCTCTCCGCCACTCCTTCGGCGACGCTTTCGCTATTCCCGTCTTCCCCGCATATCCTTTTCCGACCATGCCGCCGTTTCCTGATGCCCCAGCACATGGCGGTTTTAGTCTACCCGGACGTCGGGCCCACATGTCCGGCAAAGCTTCCTACGGCTACAATCCGGCGTTCGCGCCGCAGATCTACCATTCCGGGGGCCCAGGTCCCCGTTCTTCCCCACGACGAACTATATTCGTGCAGAATCTCAGTCCCACCACGACCGACAAGCTCCTTCGCGCCTTCATAGAAGAAAGTGGCGCCACAGTGGAGCAATCCGAGGTGTCCACGGATCCCGACACCGGCCGCTGTAAAGGCTTCGCACGGGTAACCCTACGCACAGCAGATGAAGCCAAGCGTGTTGTAGCGCAGTACAACGGCATCAACTTTATGGACGCGAAAATTCGCGTCAAGATCGACCGGAGTCTCCATCTCGCTTACAGCCTGACCCGCGAGAGACATGCCGGTTCGGCACCATCAGCTAACGCGAACAGTCCGGTCGCAAAGAACCAAGGACCATATGGTGCTGGCAACAGCCCGAGGTCATCATCGCTGTCTTCATCGACGTCAACGTCGTCGAAATCGGGCGACCACTGTGGACCCCTAGTCGTCAATGGGTCCAACACGGGAACCAAGGCAGTGGCTACTTAGCCGCACACATTCCATCACTACTTCTGACGGAAGTATTGACTGGCCGGCCTATATAGTAATAGTCGATAAACAGATATCTTATCATCATCATCATTGTTTTCTGCAGAGGGTAAGGACGGGATAGAACGGGATCATGGGGTTGAATCAGTCTATGTTTGATGTGCTCTGGAATTGGATGTGATCATAGTTACATGTGCATGATCGTTTTATTCTTATATCTCTACTTATGTGCAAGGTTTCCAATGACTGCCAGAGTGAGATTTACGGCGTCCCGGGGCGTTCAAACGGTGATTACATACATAACATAGATAGAATGATTGGTTGGTTGGTTAGAAGTCATGTTCTAGTAGTGTATCCTTATTCTATCAATTCAAAGAAATCGAAATCTGTCTGCAAGTAGCATGATGCATTCAATCAATTTCATCATTTCACTCATGAGTCATCGCATCTCATCTCATCTATCTGACCAACCCGACCGGTAGTCAGTTAGTTAACCTTTAAATAACATGGTCAATCAATCAATCAATCAATCAAAAAAAATCAACATCTCCATCTAGAATACATCCCCTCATCTCCATCAATCAATCACTGCTCCTATATGCTTTCTTTCTTTTTCCTTTTTCTGCTTTTTCCATCTTTTTCTCATATCTCAGTCAGTTCCATCAATGATATCATGCTCTCATAACAATCAATAATACATACAGTAATGGTAGTCAGTAGGTTAGGTTAGTCGGTTAGTTATCATGAGAAAAGGAAAAACAAAAAAAACGCCAGAAACTGTTCAAAAAAGACGAAAAGGGAAAAAGAAAAAGAAATGTAAAATACAAGTACAAAAAGGGTAAGTACGAGACGTCTCAATTAGGTCATCGTTAGATCCGGCGCGCGTACGTGAGAAAGTGAAAAGGGTAAAATAAGAGGCGTTAATATAAGTAGGCAGGTAGTGGTGGGACGGAGAGACGGACGGCCGGACGGGACGGACACATTAGTCCCAATGCGGAATATTGTTTGGGTCGGAGTCTGGGTCTGGGTCCGAGTGGTAGGTGGCGAATTCGGTGGGTTAGATGGTGGTAGTAGGTGGTAGGTGCTTAGGGTTGGTTTTCGTGGCTAGCTAGCTGGCTGGCTGGCTGGCTGTAGCTGAAGCCGTAGCTGGGCTCTCTGGCTGGCTGGCTAGCTAGCTAGCTGGAAAACAGGGAAGGGAAAGAAAAGTGATGCCATCATCATTTGGCATGGTCGATTAATTCAGCGTACAGCGGCTCGGGGATCTTGCGGACGATCAGGACCGTCAGGGCGATGATCTCTTTGGCGTCGAGTGGTGGGAAGGATCGGAGGATTTTGTTGGGACTGTGGATGGATCACGTTAGCGCTGTTACCTCACATCACAATGTCTCTGGGATATCTGCTGCGGGCTTTGTTTTGGGTTTGGGGGGTATCATATCATGCCCAGGAGAATTATTCTCTCAGAGGGACTTGTGTGTCGGGGCTGTGCTCTGAGGGGATGTGATTTGTCTTATTTTTCCCCGTCTTTTGTTTTGTTTTTGGTGGTATGGTATTGCTTTTTCGAGAGGATGAGGCGGACGAGAAAAACAAAAACAAACATGAAAAGGGGGAATGAACCAGAGTAGGAAAGGTAAAAGGCAAGGGAAAATGTTAAGAAAAAACAAAAAGTAAACATACTTCGGACTTTCCAGGATCGTGTCCCTCATTCGAATCAATTGCGCCACAATACACAAGATATTTAGGTGCGTTCCGTATGCGAACAAAAAGTCCCAAAGATGAAGCACCTCCGGAAGAGGAGGCGTGCACGCACAGAGGGTCAACACCGACGGAAATGCATACAATTTCGCCTGTAGGCCCTTGGAGAAGAGGTACGCCGCTAATTTGGGTTCGACGATCTCTAAACATTGGTCGACCAAGCGCAGACCTCGATGGACCCCATCCATGGCGCCGCGGATGTAACCAGGACATTCGCGTGTAATGAACGAGTGGAACAGAGCAAAGGCCTCGACTTCGCTGCGGGCGGCGTAGAGGAACGGAGCGCAGAGCACGTTCATGCCTTGGACGTAGATCGCAGATTCGTTTGTAATCCCGCTGCCGCCGCCGCGACTGCTGGCAACGCTACCTGGTGTTCCGGATGGGGAGGGTTCTTCTTCAATGCTCGGGGGTGTGTTGATTAAGAGCTCAATCTCTCGAAGACGGGACGACGGACGCAATCGCGACCGGTATTTGTTCTTCGCGTCGTGAAGTTTCCATGCGACAGCGTTGAGAAGCCGGATCAAGCTGGCTTCTGTGACGCGGCGTTTGAATAGGGGGTCTGTGGCCATGGTGCGGAATGTATCATTGCGGATTTTCGTGTAGGCTGGCGAGCGACCACGGTGGATGAGGGAGAGGTATTCGTCGGTTGGAACAGGAGAAACATCGAGAAGGACGAGCCAAAGGTAGATTCGGTAGGTGGACTGTCGCGATAGTGTTAGTGGACGTGTTGCTCTTCATTCCACGAGGGGCAGAATGAGCACGAGGGGGGAGGGGGGGTCGGGCTATTATACCATGCCATCCGCGTCTGCTTCGACTCGTGTCGAGAGAACGAGGTACCGGAGCTCCTGGAGACCCTCCTGAAGGTTGCCCTGGTGCGGACCGTCCCGGAGGAGAGTCTCCAAGACCGAGCGCTTGACTCCAAACCCAGAACCTGTCTTTCTGGCCGATCGCTTTTGAGTTCCTATCGCAGGGGCCTCCCGAGACGAGGCATCGCTGTTGGAGCGCGCCCGGCGTTGCGAGCGCAGTCGCACGGGCGAGTCCAGCTGAGGAGGTTGGGCGAGCTCCCCGGCGCCAGCAGACAAGCGCCCCGACGGCGGATGAGCTGAGGAAGGTGGGTGAGATGAGAGGATTTGGTGAGACTGGATCTTGCGCAAGCCTCGCATGGTCCGCGGTGAAGGTGACCCAGCCAGAGCAGCGAGATTAAGCTGGGCCTGGGTGGGATGGAAGGACGAGGGAGAAGAAGAGGATTCGGAGGGCGCCATGCTGGGCTGGGGGTGGAGGGAGAGGAAGAGTGGGCTCTGCTGCAGGTGTGACGGACAGACGCTCGATTGGATCAGCAAGGATTGGGGGTCTGCGTCTGGCGCAGAGACAAAACCATCTTCCCTTGAAACACCGGATCAAAGAGGGACAGGAAGATGATCCATGAATACAAGACTAATAATAATGATAGACAAAGAAAAGAAAAAAAGGGATCCTGAGAGATTTATATCATGTGAAAGTAGTGAGTAGTTATAGGATTGGGAGGGGAGAATGAATGGTTGGAGAAAAGAAACGACGCCGGGGACGATGCAAGAAACCAATGGATTCTTAGGGGGTTCTGCTGCAGCTTGGGATCATCACTAACTTTTAGTCTCTCTCTCTCTCCCTCTCAGAGTTTCAATCTGATGGCGGGCTTTTTTTTGCCGACGGACGGAATGCGGGGACACGCGACGACGCGAGCAAAAAAAGCTCAGTTGCCATGGGAAATTCCTGGCCTTAATCCTCGCGGGCCCACGAGTCTTGTCTTATTCTCGCCCTGTCAACTTTATTTCCATCGTGACATGTTCCTGGCTGTCAGTCATGTTTAACTTCCCGAAGATGGAGCTGCCCTGAAAGGTATCTACGATATAGCAAGTAGTCATGTTGTTGTTGTTGTTGTCGTTTGTCGTCTCCTACGCAGATCCAGAATTGCAGGTCAATGGCTGCCAGAGCCAGTCGGGTTCCCTAACTATCGGTATCCCTCATCATCCGAACGCCGTTACCGAACTATAAGCAATAATTCCCACTCCGCCGTTGCGGCTATCTACTAGGCGTCGCGGCGATTCGTCGATCCATTCTCCGTCCCTCCCATGATCCCACTGACAAAGTCCTGGTATCGGAATACCTCCCCCCTCTTCCCTCCGCCCGCCGCCCGAGCACCTTTCCCGCCAAATGCTCGGCGCCCCGTAAATCCACTGAGCACTTCATTGATCTCCCGGTCGCTTAGAGGGTGGTCTCCATCCTCGGATGCTGTGTGTAAGAGGGCATCGCGCAGCTCGTCGACGTCGATCTGACCGCTATCGTCTTCGTCGAAGGCCGCCAAGGCATTCATGAGCTCTTGGCGGGAAGAAAGAGGAGCGAGCAGCTGTGAGAGGGTATTGAGGAAGGTGGGGAAATTCATGGTTTGAGGACCTCCTAGAGGGAAGAACTTGGAAAGGGCAGTCGGGTCTTGGCCTGTCGAGCAGCATTGCGTCAGTATCATGTGTCATCGCCCGAAAATGATCGACTAGCTAGCCTTCCGTTACATACCCACGTTCGTAAGCACATCCGCCACGTCGTCCTTATCTACTAAGCCATCGTTATCTCGGTCCAGGACTTGGAAGGCCTCTCGGATTTCCCGCAGTTGTGCGGGGGGTAGTTTAGCTGCTGCGTCAGATGACGCCGCCATCATGTTCGTAGCTTTGGCTTCCATCAACGACGGCGACGAATCCGGCGCATTGGCGCCCCTCGTTGGCGAAGGGGGCGCCTCTCGTGTGAACCGAGGCTGTGCAATGGGACTTCTGGGCTTGCTCTTGGGTGATGAACCGTCATCTTCCTCGACGGTGTATGATTCCTTGAGTTTGCTCGGTGACTGAACCGGAGTGTAACCGCGGCCGGGGGAACTGCCAGGGGTGCTTGAGCGGCCTTGTGGATGGGAGTTGGGTGTAGAAGGACGGCGAAAAGGGGAGGGTCGAGGGGAGCCAAATGATAATGGCGATGGCCTGAAGGGGGCGTTGGAGGTGACCTGGAGATACGGCGGTGAGCGGAGTCCGGAAGGAGGGAATGGGAGAGTGAGCACTTACCATGATGAAGTAACAATGGTGAGAAAATGAATATGACGATGATATGCAACTGTACAGGATTGTTCCCTATCAGATTGGGGGAGGAAGATTACCCACAGCGAAGAGGGATCAAGAGGGGAAGATGGCAGGATAGAATGGGGATGGAGATATCCATTACATAGTTCCCAGAAGGGAAAGGCAGCCAAACAAACAACAAGGCTTCGGGGGTTCAAGTCGGGCCGATACGGAGGGGGCACGTGCGGGGCCCAAGAAAGGCAAGAAGCGGCAGTTCTGCAAGTCTGAAGTTCCCTCAATCGAACTGCACGGAGAAAGAGATCCGATCACTCCATCTCAGATTATTGGTATCCTCCTCCTCTATTATTATCATCGATCTAAAAGCAAGTGTTTTATCTTGTGGTCTAGATCTCATGGCCTAGAATTTCCCCGTGCCCATTGCGTCCCATTGCAATCTACTTGCACTCTTCCCCCAACTGCGTGCATTGAGGCCATGGCGGTCGGTGGTGCTGGTTTGTCTCCCGTCGCCTTTCCCCGCTGTGGAGATCATCGTCGGTGCGTGGGCTTTGGAGGCTCTCGTCCCCTTTCTTTTTCCCCTGAGTCTATCCCGACTAATCCTCCGATCGACGAACCTCCCACCCCGTCCACCCTGGCTCTCGAACCCCGACAATGACTGACAGTCTAACAGTATCAGTTGCCTGAGTCAGGTCGCCTCGGTTTTCTACTGGGATAATTGATCGAGTATGCTGCTATTATCGTTATCCTCGTGCTCATTGTTCGCCGGTCCTCTGGAGCTATCACTTGCCACCCCCGATCCGCTCTCGATCTGAATGACCCCCGTGCCCACCTCGACCCCCTGTTCCCCGGCCAGAAAATGAGCATCTCACTACCCTACCGACCTGCTGATGATTCCACCCTCTCGCTTGCGGCCACGACCAATCCTTCCAAGGCCAATGGCCATCCCCGCCTATCCCCTTCCCCTTCCATCATCCACCGGCGCACCCCCAGTAGTTCGGGGAACTCGGCGCGCCGTCGCTCGCTGGGCCAAGGTCCCTCTACTCTTTACCCCAGACCGCGACGATGCAAATCGCAATACCCCCGAGATTCGCCCGAGCGACATGTCGAGTACATCCTTGTGGCCTCGTTCCACATCGACCGCGGCCCGATCATGGAGCATCAGTATCCCGCCGCAATCAGTGGCGACGAGAGTATGCTAGCGGAACTGATGCTTCCCGATCAGACGCACGTTCGGAGTCAGGACTGGACGATCTTCTTCTTGCACAAGGACACAAGCGCGGATGCCGACGAGGACGACGCTAGTACTGGCAAGAAAAAGAAGAAAAAGAAGTCCCGGATAGGGGACGCGGAGAGCGGCGACGGGGACAGCGAAGATGTAGGCGGGTCAACCGAAGAGGAGAGCAGCGACGAAGAAGAGGGTGGCGAGGGGCCACCCTTGATGTATGTGCTCAACCTTGTAAATACGAAGCAAGATACTTCCGTCAAACGGTATGTCCTTCTATGGTTTCCGGGCTGCCTGGTCAATACTGAACAATCACAGTGGTGCAGTCGTCAAAGCCATGGCGATTTGTACGCGACATTCTTTCCTACATATATATAAAGTAGGTTCACCCAAAAGAACGGCGCATGTGATGGAGCTGACCGGTCATGACAGCCTTTACTTCTCTTGGCCCTGGAGGATTACTTCAAGAACCCCTACCCGGAGACGCTCGCATCGTTATACGATGCCGTGAACGCCATGGACCTGTCGTTAATGCCGAGGCTATCGCTTTTAGAACGACTGATCTTGCAGGCAAGCAACTGTAAGGATATGTTCATTGAGAAATTCGAGCAGATGATCCACCAGCGACAAGTTGAAGATGGCGGGCCTTTTGACGAAGAGCCCCCGTCCCCGAAAAGGCCAGCCGCCCCTCGATACACGCTACCCCGAGATACCCACGAGTTTGAGTCTAAGATCGTCTACAACGACATTCCTATTCCTGTCAAGGTGCCGACGGTCATTTGGCCGGAGGTTGTGGGCGACTTTTCCCTCATCAAGCTCATCCAGATCTTTTCTACTCCGCATGCGGCCTCGCCACAGCCGTTTCCCATCCATCCCCACCTCACTACGAGCGGGCCCTTTACCCATCCGATCATTGTCCTCGTCAACGCCATGTTGACTCAGAAGCGAGTGATATTCCTGGGGCATAATCGCCCTTCAGGCGAAGTGGCAGAGGCAGTGTTGGCGGCGTGCGCCCTTGCGTCGGGCGGCATATTGCGCGGGTTCACCAGACACGCATTCCCGTACACCGATTTGACGAAGATCGATGACCTGCTGAGGGTCCCTGGTTTCATTGCTGGCGTCACAAATCCTACCTTTGCCAACCATCCCGAATGGTGGGATGTGCTCTGCGATTTGCCCACGGGCCGAATGAAGATCAGCAGCCACATTGAGCCGGCCCCAGTCACCGAAGGACTCTTGTATTTCCAGCAACAAGCCGCCATGCACCACCACCCACCGCCGAGTAACAATGCAGATCCCAGTGGGGACAATGTCTTTATGGAGGAGGTTCAGCGCAGCATCACCAACCGATACGGCGAGAATGCCATCCGGGCGAAGTGGCGCGCCTATATTGCCAAGTTCACCCGGGTTGCTGCAGCCTTCGAGGAGACAGTCTATGGGGCATCCAATCTTTACGTTATCGGACCCAACGAAGAGCTTTCGCCCGAAAGTCCAAGCGGCCTTCAGGCGGATCCACTCGATCCGACAACACTCCGTGGACACGGTTATGTGTGGCCGGACGAGGGGTCCAAGCAACGCGAGCTGATGGCGTCGGTGGCGCGGATTGAAGGCTGGCGGACGACGCGATCGTATTATTCCTTTATTCAAGATATTGCAGCCATGTATTATCCCTCACGGCCGATTCAGAAGCCGGACCTACATCATCACCATGACCGGCTGCGGGCGCTGAGGCTCCCGCCGGCCGATGCGGGGGCGATCTACATTTCGTTTGCACACGCGGTCAAAGACTACGCAGGCATCTGCCAACTCTTGACCGTGACTCCGGAGAACCAGGCGGGACTCTTCTACCTCGGCATGGGATTGTTCCATCCGCACCAGCCAGTGCGCGAGGCGGCGGTCGATCTCCTAGAGCGCATTGCGGCGCATCCGGCGGGACGACACTTTTGGGCGCAGCTCAACCGGTTCACCAAGCTGGCCTTCTTCCGGATTAAGCGGGAGAGAGACGCATCGACACAGAGCCCAGCGTCAGGCTTGGGGAATGAGAGCTTCGGGCCCCAAAGCCTGGTAGGGGTAGCGCTGGGCGACAGTTTCCGACGGAGTTAGCTCCTCCTCAATATCCTTCTTCACCAACCCTCCGATTATTCGTATCATGACTATTTGTAACGACATGATATAGTGGCAACCACATTGTGATATTCTTCTGCACTGTTTGATACATTTATTTGCCTACGGGCTGGATATACCTGGTTTTGAATAAGACATTATTTTCCACATACTATGAAACGGAGATAAGTGAATGTAGATATTAGAGTTTAAATATAGACATTAGATAATCCCTTTTCCCCCCCAAGTAAAACCATAACCATATCACATCATATAACATCATACCCTCACCTAAACCACCCCAATCACCCAGCCAACACTCCACCCCACAACCACCACCACCATCACCCCCCAACTGCCTCCCCCAAACCTCCCCCCAGCACCACCACTACTAACCCCATCCTTCACCACCCCCACCGTAACATTAACATCCGCAAACCCACTCCCACACACCCCATTCACCCCCCTCGCCGTCGGCAAATAACTCTCCGCCAACGGCTGCCCATCCACACTCGCATACTCCTTATACACATTCAACGTCGCCTGCAAACACTCATTACACGTGGGCCACGGCGCCGCATCAATGGCACTCCCATACGGCACGAAATACACATCATAGTCCACAGAATTACTGGTATTCGTTACCGCATCCACAAAGCAATAGTTGTTCGTCTCTGGAGACTGCAGGCACGTGGCGCGGTAGATGGGCGCGTAGGTAATGAGATCAGTGTAGGCGGATACGACGGCTTGGTTTCCGGCGTTGTAGTCGTGCAGGCAGGTGGATGATTGGAGAAGTTGCGAGGCGAGGGAGGTGAGAGCGGTGCTGCAGGTGGTGAGGTTCGAGGCGCAGGCGGTGTCGAGGATGGAGGAGGTGGTGGGGGCGGAGGTGAGGGCGTGGAAGAAGGAGGTCGAGTCGCGGAGGAGGAGCGAGATGGCGTGGCAGGAGGTCAGGGTGGTGTTGGATAGGAGGTTGTGGAAGAAGGTGGCGCAGGTGGTGGTGGTGAAGTTGTTGGTTAGGGAGGTGTCGAAGGCGGTGGGGAATGTGGATGATGATGTGTCGGTCGTGTCGGTGGATATGGATGTGGTGTTGGTGGTGGTGCTGCGGGGGTGCAGGGTGAGGTTGCTGGTGTCGTCGTTGGCGTTGGTGGTTGTGGTGGTGAAGATATCTGGTGATAGTGATAGTGATAGTGGTTGATCTGTGTTGGTGGTGGTGGTATGTGCTGCGGAGAGATCCGCATTGACGATCTCCCCACTGCTTATTTCTGCGGTGGATGGCAGCACGGATCCTAGCACGGATGGGAGGGCAAGTAGGGTGCAGAGAAGGATGGATAGTTGTTGTTGTTGTGAATGTTGTCGTGCTGAGCGAGCACGGGGCGTGTAGATGGACACCATGGTGGTGATGATTGAATGGCTCTGAGTAATCAGAGTTCAGTCTAAAGAGAGTGTGTGTAGTATATAGCAGGCAAAGAAATCAAAAGGAGTGTGGATGTGAACAAATTACATGATCCTGAAATGACTGCTCGGTGGCAGGGCAAGGGGGATGGATGGATGGATGAATTAGGGCACCCATGGACGGGGGAGGGAACCAGCTTTAATCTAACCCATGAGGCTACGGTACTACAACGGGATCAATCACACAACGGGATTAAAGCCATGGCACATAGTGGACAAGACACACACACGAGCAGGGTCAGGGGCGTGCCTGACGGAGTGAGCCGTGCGCCAAAGAAAAACGGGCATAAGTGGTATAGGCTGGATGGAACAGTCGAGACTAGACCGACGGGCAAAGAGTCTGGACTCCCGGGGTTTATTCTTAGCAGGGCAACTGATTGGACTCCTTGCTCCTAGTACAAAGCAGAGAACTTTTCACAAGATAGCTGAGCAGTTCGGTTATTCTGCCTGTTGTGTTCTCGTCTGAAACTGGCGCCACCAGAATTAGCGTCACGACTGACTCGGGGGGACCAAGATATTCTTCTTTCTCCAGCACCGATTGTCCAAATAACCAGTAAGTAACGTTATCTACTAAGAAGAACTGCCGGATGGAATCCCTTAATAAGATAAAAAAAAACTCCCGACTGAGCACGGGCTGCACACCGGCCCTGTGGGCCAATCAGCAGCGCGGCAAAACCAGGAGGTCCACCTCGCCTATCGCCGACCCAAAGGAAGGAATGACATCGAGTTCCCTTCCTTGCCCGCCTGCTCCTCTTCTTCTCCTCCACCAGCTCCCCTTCATTTCATCATGTCCGCCGATCTTCTCGTCCCTGAGACCAGGGTCTTGGCTGTCGCCAGCCATGTATGTTTCTCCCCAACCACCATTGGCGTATCCCATGCATTGCTGACAAGGGTCTAGGTTGTCTACGGGTATGTGTCATATCTGATAACACCTCTATCTATCATGATGTCTCATCACATCGCATGCTTGCATATACTGACGGATCAGATATGTGGGCAATAAGATGGCCAGTGCGGTCATGCAGCTCATGGGCTGTGATGTCGCCGCCCTGAACACCGTTCACTTCAGTAAGCAGGCATATATCCTCTGCGTAAACCGCCCTACTGACAAACTCCAGGTAACCACACTGGTTATAGACAATTCAAGGGCACTAGGGCCACAGCAGAGGAGATCACCGCGCTCTATGAGGGTCTCACGCAGAGCAATTTACTTGACTTTGATGTCATGCTCTCTGGCTATGCGCCCAGTGCAGCTGCCGTCGAGGCCGTCGGGGCCATTGGCATGGACCTCCAGCGCAAAGCGGAAAAGAATCCCGGTTCCTTCTTTTGGGGTGAGCTGCCCTCTCTCTCTCTCTCTGTTCTATGTGATGGCATTAATAACCATGCACAGTTCTGGACCCCGTAATGGGCGACCAAGGCCGTCTCTACGTCAACGACGACGTCGTCCCCGCATACAAGAAGGTCATCCGCCACGCAGACCTCATCCTCCCCAACCAATTCGAAGCCGAGTAAGCCATCCCTCTTTCCTTACTCCTGCTTCTCCTTCTAACCAGAGCAGAGTCCTCTCCGGCATCAAAATTACCTCCCTCGCCACCCTCGCTGAAGCCATTACCGCTCTTCACGCCATATACAACATCCCCCACGTGATCATCACCTCCGTGCAAATCGCCAGCCTCTCCGACTCTCCGCTCCCCAACACCCTCACCGTCATCGGCTCGACCACCCGCTCCGACGGTGCCCCGCGTCTCTTTCGCATCGACGTCCCCGCCCTGGACTGCTACTTCAGCGGCACCGGCGACATGTTCGCCGCACTCACGGTAGCCCGGTTCCGCGAGGCCGTGTTCAACGCCGATCCCACCCTCCGCAACACCAAATCATGGGTTTCGCCCGACAATGTCCCTGCAACGGAGTTGCCCCTTGCTCAGTCTACCCGGAAGGTGCTGGCGAGTATGCACTGCGTGCTGGAGAAGACGCTAGAGGCGAGAGATGCCGAGTTGCGCGCCATTGTTCCGGATGAGAGCGAGAAGCTGCTCAGCCAGGAGGACCAGCAGAAGAGGGCGCATCTGCGGGAGAGCAAGGCGGCAGAGGTACGGGTGGTACGGCATGCGCAGTATCTGCGGGAACCGGAGGTGGAGTTTCAGGCGAGCGAGTGGCGACGGGAGGATCTGCCGGCGCAGTTTCGTTGATTCTTAACGATGGGAGGCGAATTGTTTGAGCATTATAGATTAGTTATAGACGGGTGTTCATTATATACCACCAGTCATGATGAAATGCAGTGACGGACAAACCAATACAATCTTCAGAATACTATATGGATGCTAATTATCTCATCTCACTCGTGTAATTGTATTGTATTGTATTCCAATTGTACGGATATCATTCAAACCATACACGCCATATCTATAACATAAACCTTGTCGAAGCAATCCCAATTAAACACCAGTACTTCCAAACCCACCAGCGCCACGAACACTCTCCGCCAATTCCTCCACAACCACAACTTCAGGGGTATAGATCTAGACCTCACAATTAGCAATTGACCCCAACCACAACCATTGAAATAATATAAAAGAAGAAGAAGGGAGGTAAAATGACATACCCTCTCCAAAACCAACTGCGCAACGCGATCTCCCTCCTTCACCTCGAAATCCACATCCGAATGATTAAACAAAAGAACCTTGACCTCTCCCCGGTAGTCTGCATCGATGACGCCCGCGCCAGTATCAATGAAGTGCTTCGAGGCGAGGCCGGAGCGAGGGGCGATTCTGCCGTCTATACCACCACAATATCATAATCAGCTATTCATTCCCGACATCAGGGTAGATGTAGAGGGGGGTAAGGTGGAAAACATACACGTCCCCTCCGGCACAGCAATCGCAATTCCCGTATCAACCAACGCCTTCCCCTTAGCAGGAATAACGGTCTCCTTGGCGCTGTACATGTCGTATCCGGCCGCGAAGGCAGAGCCGCGGGTCGGGGCGCGGCCGGTAGGAGTGAGCTTCTTCACTTGGAGGGGGGGGAGAGGGGTGCTGGTTGAACCCATTGTGGACGGTTCTGTTGATTGCTCGGTGGTGTTGGGTTTGGTGCGCTTGGCGAGGGGAGAGGCGGGGAGGGAGGGGGGCTCGTGAGTTGTGTTTGTAGTAGGTTCGGTGGTGGTGGTGGTGGGAGGAGGAGGGGTGGTCTCCTTGGTCATTATCTGGGTGGTGTGTAGTGGAGAGAAAGGAGAGTGGGTTCTTCTTCGGCTGAAGAAATATTGAAGAGGAAAATGGAGTGTTGGAAATGCGGTGTGTTGTGTAAATCGACGAGATGCGAGGGCGAGGGCGAGGCCCTTCATGGTGGGTTCTTTTATTTTTTGGTTTGATTGCTGGCAATCGATTTGGGGGAACGCGTCTGGCGGTGAGAGTGGACGCGAGGCGCGTTTTAATGGGCTTGGCGGGTTTGGGCTGTTTGATTCTGATACTGAGTAACAGTGAGTATGCCACTAGATCTAAATGGGTAAGGAATTCAGGATAGCCGAGGCTCCCCGCAGCCTTTCAGGTGAGCCGCGGGCCGTGGCTGGCTGGCTGGCTTGAGATCGGAGCTATCCCCGGGTTTATTCCATCCCCAGCGTGACTTGTTCTCCGCTTTTGCTACGTCTTATAGAAGTTGGTGGTGGTGCATAGTCTCGCTGTATACTGCTGAATCTCATGTTGTCTTGGATATGGCTGGAGCGGTGCGCCAACCTATTGATGTTCCCTCCCTGGAACGCTATCTCAATCTCAATGTACCCGATATCAAGACCCCCTTGGATGTGAAGCAGGTATACAATGACCCTTCCGAATTACTGTCCTGGCCACACAACTCACAGTCTCTAGTTTGGCTTTGGTCAATCCAATCCTACGTATCAACTCACCACCGCCGACGGTAGCAAATATGTCCTCCGCAAGAAACCCCCGGGCAAGCTACTCTCCAAGACTGCGCACAAAGTCGAGCGCGAGTACAAGATCATCCATGCCCTAGGAAACACCGACGTGCCCGTCCCCAAAGCCTACTGTCTCTGCGAGGATAGTAGCGTAATCGGAACCCCCTTCTACATCATGGAATTCCTAGATGGACGACACTTTACTGATCCTGCCATGCCCGGGGTCGACCCGGCAGAGAGAACAGCATTGTACGTCATCCCTTGCCCCCCTCCCCCTGCCTCTTCGGGATGATACAACCCGCCTGGCGCGGCTACTGTTACATGAAAGCGGGAAAAATTGGAGCTAACCACACACACGCCCCCCCTACCAACAGATGGCAGGATGCGGTCCGGACATTAGCCAAGTTCCACCGGGTAGTCCCCCAAAAGGTCGGGTTGGATAGGTTCGGAAAACCGACGGGGTACTATGATCGACAGATCGCCACCTTCACAGCAGTTGCACAGGCGCAGGCACAAGCCGTGGATGTGGAGACCAAGGAACCTGTCGGAGAGTTGCCTCATTTCATGGACATGGTGCGTTTCTTTGACGACAAGACGACGCAGCCGCAAGACCGCGGCACGCTCGTGCACGGTGACTATAAGATCGATAATATGATATTCCACAAATCCGAGCCGCGAGTCATCGGCCTCTTGGATTGGGAAATGGCCACAGTGGGGCACCCTCTGTCCGACTTCTGCAACCTCACTAGTCCCTTTTTCCTGGACGGGGTGGACCACAAGAAGGAAATGTTCGTCCCGAAGGTAGTGCCTGGCTTGCCCGCTCGAGAGGACTGTATCCGTTGGTATCGTGAGGTGTCGGGGTATGACCCCACTGGGGATATCCCATGGGGTGATGCTTTCTTCTCCTGGAGAAGCTCGGTGATTATGCATGGTATCAAGGCCCGGTATGCCCTGAGGCAGGCCAGTAGTGCCCGCGCTGCGGAATATGCTAGAAATACGGAGCCTTTTGCGCTCGAGGCTTGGGAACGTGTTAAGAGAGTGCGAGCCCAGCTGGGTCAAAAGGCCAGGCTGTAACTAGTTTTCTTTTTTCGTCAAGCCGAACAGACATAAATTAATTCTCCCATAGAGTTTACATTGCTTCACAAGGTCTAGTACCCTGGTGTGGAGTCGATATCATGATTTAGTTGTCTTTTTCCCTGTCCCGTGGCATGACCACCCTTGTAGGTATGTATGGACGGTAAGCCGGCACACAGACACACAACCATGAATGATAAATAGCCTTGCCAGTCGGAGATTCCGAACGGAAGAAGTAAGCATTTCGAAAGCAAAGTTAACAATCAAATCCCGAGTACTAAGTAGAATGGGCTCGCCTCATCCTTCACCTACTCTTCCGCCTCTACTCCCACTTCAGCCCCCAACATCGTACTACCCAAATCGCCGCAAGGTGACCCTATGCATGCAAGAAGAAAAGAAAAACCACACTAGCCTCATTCACGGGAGGCGTACAAAAGCCGAACGAGTCCAAGCGCCAGTAAGCCCGGCGTCGGCCGCTGTGAGCATCGCACTAAACTAGCAGGGGGGTGGGTGGGTGGGGGGCGGTGGTTGGAGTCAGGTCAGGCCAGGTTTATGAAAGTGGTGTGCTAACTACTAACTAGCTCTCTAGCTAGTCAGCTAAACTAGTTAGCAAAGGAAGCTAAATACGCAGCACGGCTTACCTAGAGCCGTGGTGCTGCAGCAACAACAACAACAGCATTCCCATATCGATGATGATGACGCTGGATGGAGCCTCGTATCTGCGCTAGATCCATTCCCCTTCCCCCCCTCCCTCCCCAGTAGTTAACGGGCGAGAGTCAGCACGAGCGCCAACCGCAAATCGGGGCTTGCGGCACTTAATTGGGTGCGGCTCCCGGGCCTGCATTTCCTTGGTTTTCTTTTCCCTTGATACCAGCCCTAGTAAATATATTTAGTGCTATTTTACTATAACTCCGTGGTTATAGAAGTAGTGTTAGGTACTTCCGCTGTCTTCTCCGTTCCTCCCCGTCTCCGTCCTCCCCGTCCCTCCCTTATTCCTCTCTTTCCCCTCCCTTCTGGCCCCTGCAAGTTCCTCCGAACTAAGTAGATAGATGGTGTAGTAGTAACATCTTTTCTCATCGTTTAAGAGTCTAGCGCCAGAACTCGGACCATCCCACCCTTGAGTAACGATGATGAGGATGATGATGATGATGATGGAACAGCCGCCGCAGCCCTTTGATTTTCTTTTTCCTAATTTTTCTTTTTTCCTTCAAATCCTTTTTAGTTTCTTATTTTTCTTTTTTTTTTCCCTTTGAGCAACGTCAGTGGCGGGCGTGGAACCTCCGGCTGGAATGGACCAGAACCCCCCGAGGCTCTCACACCTCCACCTCTTCTTCTAACTTCGCCTTGTCTGTTTCTCTTTGCTGGCTAATTTTCCCCTCTTTTTTTATTTTTTAATTTTCAGTTTTGTTTTTTGCTTTTTTTTATCGCCTTCAGATCTGCTGGCCTTTCTTTCCTGCAGATAGTAGTCTACAACAATGGTTCAATTTTGGGGGCGGTGAAGTTGCTAAAGTAGTGTATGAGTTGATGTACTTTCTTTTTCTCTCGATCGATCGGGGTTTGAAAATTATTTACTAACTCCTGTGTATCTCTCGCTCAAGTTCCGCGTTCAGGATCTAACTCAATATAATCCTTCGTTGAGTACGGAGTACTTTACCAGAAGTGAGTTAATTTGCCGTGAACTAGTCGTGTTGGCCAATTGGCTTTACTCTGGAGCCTAAATGTTAACATGGATGGGGTTTATCTACTAAGTACTACGGAGAATTGTGTTACTTGTTCTATATATCCCTGTTGACGTTTCAGTCGCTAAAGAGTAGATGGTCTATATGTATATGTTCACATGCAGAAATGAATCATGATGGCGAAACTGATGATGATCTACCTAGTCCATTTCCATATTCTGTTTAGCTAACTGAGGGGGTTGGTAGTAACTAGTATAAGTGAGAAGAGGAGAGAGGAGGGGAAGAGAGGCAGAGCAATGATGGATTTGCTTCGGGGCGGGCCGCCTCTAGTTGATTAGCGGGTGGTTATTGGATGGACCATTAAATGCTCCCTGTTTGGTGTGTGACTCTAGATATAGACTACTTAGTAGTGGGAAATATTTGGTTAATCTAGGGGATTTTAGTTAGTGTAGCTGATCTTTGGTTTGGATGGGGCTGTAAGTAGCCCGCTGTAGTTGCTACCTGAGGATGTTAGTTTCTTAGTGGGTGGGCTCTACTATATCTTCAATATGATTTGAGTTAGAGGGATTGTATTGTAAGCTAGCTAGCTTGTTATTCGGTATGTTGTTGTTCCCTTTTGGGGAAAATCATATATCATTTTCGCGGTCGAACTGCTGTCAAGATTATAGTCATGAGAGAGGAAACTCACTCGGCTAGAGTGAGTCGTGTCGAGGTAAGTACCCTGCTGCTCTCCATCCGATGAATGCAACGTCGGCATGCTAATAATAATGTATGTAGATGGGGATACCTGCAGTTCATATTGGGATCAGCACTGCGATCGCATTCTTCAACCCTGTCCGATGAAGGCGTTGCTGGCCTGCCGGTGGCTAAAGTGAGGAAGTCGGTGCACTGACGACGAGTGGAGCAAACTAAGGAGTAGAGAAGGGAAGGAAGAGACGGACAGCTAGACAGCCAGCCAGAAAGACAAGAGAAAAGAAGAGAGGGGAAACGTGGGGCCGTGTTGCGATACGTCCCGATCATCTGCAGAGTGACAGTTGGAACTTGCGGCCTTGTCCAGCTTGAACCAGTTTTTTTCTGTTGTGTTCAGCTAAGAATTGTCTTACTAGACTACTCCTCAGAGTACTACACAGTAGACTAAATCATTACTCCGTGGTCTAATCCTCCCCCCCTCCCCCTCCGTCCCTCCCGCGCGCCAGCTAGGGGCAAACACTAGTCCTCATCATCCTAGTCGAGTGTGTACCTCTTCTCACTATCGACCTTCCTGAATAAGGCAAGGTGGGAATAAAAAACCCCTCTTACTCACATCTCTGCTTCCTCTCCCTCTCCCTCTCTAACTACTTACCTCCTCTTCTGCATGTCAGAAATTTTTACATGGCCGGTTTGACGAGGGGGTGAGTGGGTGGGTGCGCACATCAAACACGGCTTGTGCTTGTCTTTGCAGTGCTTCTTCTCTTCTGCTGTTGCCATGCCATGTTTGATCGATCTCTCCATTCAGTTTGCGCCGTTCTCTCAACCAAATTTCAAGTGGATAAGAATGTCATTCCATCTCGGTAGGCGCACAAATAGCAATAGACATGATGGAGCCTTTGATCCCGTCCTACTGGTAATTTCCACAACGTCCGGCTCAAACCAACTACTCACACCTTTCCCGCTCTGGTAGGGAAAGGGGAGGGGACCCTCCTTTAACCGTGCCCCAGACCCGTTCGGATTCACGGTACTGGGTAATGCACGGATCGAAACCAAAGTTCCGACGCAAACCAAACCAAACCACTGGATGTCAAAATTAGACAGACACACCAAGTATCTATCTAACGGGAACTATCAACCGAGAGATTTACTCACCGGCCGAAGTCTGAAGGAATCAAGAATTGGATGGTTTGATGGTTTGACTGATTGACCGATTAATAATAATGAAGATCGGTCGGAGAGCTAGTTAGTCAGTCCACTACGCTCTCTGACAGCCAAAATACCACAGTCAAAGCACGTACCTTAAGTAGATTCCCTGGCCTATTTTTTCTTTTTGTTTTTAGCCCTGCTAGTAACTTACTTGGCTCTGAGCCCCATTCCTCTGTGTACTCGGTGCAGCCGTATCCTCGATCCTGCTCGCACACAAAGTAGTCGGAGTCGGAGTCGGAGGGGTTACGGGCGACGACGTTAGTTTAGCAAAAGCGGCAGCTGTTGTGGTTAAGTCTATCTTCTGCTAGTCAGGAGCACTGGGTCCGTTGTAATTCCGTTGTAACTCTTAGAGCGAGGCTGTTGATTATTCTATTTCCAGTGCATCTCATTGAGGTGTTTTTTTTTTTTTTCTTCTCTTCATTTCGTCTTTCTTTTCAGAAAAATCCAAAAATGTACAACAATCAATTTTTGTTTTCTTGAATTTGATTTATTATATTTATTTTCGATGCCCATTTTTACTTTTTCTCTTTTAGCCTCATTCTCACTTTGAGGCGCCTCCTCCCTTCCACATATGCCACTCATCACACTGCCCTCCGCACATGATGCAGATTCCTGCTCTGGACTATCGTGCGAGCCCCTTCTGCAGGTTGTGTGACGGACCAGGCGGAGGCTTGTCCAGTAGGGAGGACTGGAAGGAACACTGGGGCGCGTCCTTTCCCGTGGCGGTCAGCCATCCAGCTGTGGACTGCAGCCTTGTCGCCTTAGAGACCCGAGTACGACCTTAGCCGGCCGTTGTGGTTGGGGAAAATTAGAGAGAATTTTTTTTTTTTTTTCTTTTTTTATTTAGGGAAATGAACTGTTAGTGATCGCGGACGGGCCATTTATTAATAAAACCTGTGGACTATATTATAGGTATATTGTTAACCGTAGAGGGAAGGGGGGTTTTCTACAGTAGGGCAAGGGTAGATTAAATCCTCGATCGATAGATTTTATCCGATCGGAGAAGAGGGGAAAGGAAGGAGTCAGTCAGAAAGACAGCCGCATCATCTGATGAGAAAAGCTTCGAGTTGGGCCATGGAAGTTAGTAGAGAAACGAGGAAAATGCTGGCCAACGCATCCACGGCTCCTTCCCTCCCACCCACACCCCCTTCCCTTCACTCGGAGCAGCAGCCAAGTTCTACGACGGTTCGGTGCAGATGAACAATTCAGCCTCTTAAACTGTGCCCGCGCGTGGTGACCAATCATCGCTGGCCATGCAGAGAGCCTCAGAAGTGGAGCCCTTTTGGGCCTAGTCTAGTCGCCGCGGGTCGGCCTCGTGGACGTGGCATTATTCTTCCTGCTCCAAGCAGTGGTCGGCGAGGGGGTGGGAAAAGGAACGGAAAAAAAAGGTGAGCATGCTGAAGGAAACACACACTCACTCACTCACTCCACTCCACTCACTACTACACAGACAGACAGACAGGCAGACAGACAGACAGACTAGATCAGACAGCTAGCTTGCTGCGAGAGACACTCTGAACCCGCCTTTCTTGCTCCCTCCCTCATCTCACACATACACAAGACATTCCCCTCTCCGTCCCCTTACCTCTTCTCACCCTCTTTGGCGCTCTTACTTTACTTATCCCGCCCCGGCAAGAAAAGCGTGAATGGTCGTTGATTGTCTTAACTAGGATTATTGTCGGTAGGTAGAAATTTTGCTTGTTTCCTCTCTCCACCCGGGTTGATGGTGTTGTCCCTCCCTCCATGCTCACCCCACTTTGTTTGCCTGTCTGCACGCAGTGGCGCGCGCGTCTGGAGAGTCAGCTTCATTCATTCCCTCCGTCTTCTTCCGCCTTGTCCTGCGGATTCTTCTTCATAATTCTCTTGTTCCAGTTTCTACTATTTTGTTGCTGTGGGCACCCAATGCCCTTTTAAAAGTAATCTAAAACCAAATTTCCTTTGGAGCCTCACTAGTGTCTTCAAGGGACAACAGAACCAAGGACTGACTAACGTTTTACTTGGAAAGCACGCCAACAGAGCCTCCGCATCTGACCAGCCAAGGGAAAAGAAAAGAGAACAAACACCAAAAAGAAAGAAGACGAAAAGGAAGAGGAAGTAATAAAAACAAGAATCGGGACCCGACGAGAGCTGCCGAATAGGCAGAACAGAAGAGAGCCAGAGACAATAAATCAGTCAGCTCAGCTTCCCCCCCAGCTAGCCCAAGCCCAGCCAGCCAGACGAAACAGCCAACCAGAACCACTGCAACTATTATATTTTGTACCTCTTTGCTACTTTACTACGGCCACTACTACTTACTCCCCTCTCCTGCCGACCTTGCCAGTTCTTCCCTACAGTTCTGGTTCTCCTAACGGAAGTACTGCTGCTGCTGCTGCTTGCTGTCTACCTACCTCAACCGTCAACCAGAAACCAAACCTGCTGCTTTCTCCACCCGCGTTTTTCCAGCCCGGCCGGTGGATCACCTTCAGTTCTGAGTGGATTGATTCTCAGCGTTCTCCTCAATTCTACTACCACCACGACGGCCACGCCAAACTAAACTAACTAAACTATCCGTGTGTCTCCATCTGCCTTTTCCCACCTCGTTTTTCCTTTATTACTACTGTGATCCTTCCCCTCGGTTCGGCCGTTCCAGCGCAACTACCTGCTGACCGCTCCGCGGCCATACCCTTAACCTTTTTCCTTTTCCCTTTTACCACCTGCCAAGCGTGTCATTAACCCGCTTGCTGGGACCATTAGCTTCATCGGCCACTATTCGTTCCAGCGTCCCTTGATTACCGGACACGGTCATCATTATTGCTCGGGCCTAAGATTATCGCTCTTTTCTGCCATTATTATTATTATTACTACACCACTCTTATTATTCTTTACTCGCGACCACTACCGTTCTGCTGCTGGCGCCGTTAGACGATGAATTTTTCCAATCTCTGATCCTTGCACCTCCACCTCTTCTTTGATTCTTCTTTTCGACCCGAGCCGTGACATCGTGACCTCCCTTATCGTCATCACCACCACTGAGCGTTCAACCTTATCCTAAACTGCTTTCTTTCCCCTCCCTCCCACCCAACCCCCCATCCTCTCCTCCCCCAGTTTTATCCACGCGGCTCGGAATTCCCGCGCGCATGATTTATTGATCTATGCGCCCGGTGGTGCCGTGGTTGACTGAGTCCTGACGTGCAATCGCTTTCAATTGAGCCTCATTGCGCGGTTCCTGCGGCTTTCTCGGTTCCTGACAGCAGGTGAGCCTATTTTGCATCTCCTTCCCCCGTCGTTCCAATTGCGCAGCATCAGTAATAAGAAACCCCCCGTATCGTTCAACTGGCGGTTTGCTTGCTATCAATTGTCACCTTGCTTCTTCCCTTTCCTTGGCTATCCGTGGCCAAACTTGCATCCTGGATATTGTCGCAATTGGGCCAGCTCTTGGTGCCGTTGGAGATTTTACAAAACTAGGCTGCTACTCGCCGCCTCCGGGATTTTTGCACGCTCTTCTGAGTTTCTTCCCATGTCCTGCAGGCTCGTCTGGTGTCCCATCCCCCCTTCTCTGACCTACTTTCTTTCTCCCCGGGAGAGCGTTGCACAAGCTGGCCCATCTGTACTCTATTCATATCCAACGTTGTCCTTCTCTATGTCGTGCCACCACTTTCTCTAGTCTGTGTGCATGCTAACATGGTGCCAGCACATCTGGGATCGACAAGTGGATCGTGTCCTATCTTGCTTGGCAAGCCGTTGGAACGGCAGTCTATTTTCCGGGCTGAAGACAGTGTTCTGAAACACTTCGGGGCACTCGAACGGGACAGGCAGGCCAAATCGAACAGTAAGGGGCGGCGCACCTGATGCGCCTAAAACCGCCGCCTTCATGACAGAATCATACGGTCTCGATGAACCTCGCACCCCTGGGTTGCGGCCCACAGAGATTGATTACTTACCAAAGGTGTCACCGCCTCCATTCGATACCGGGGATCAATCACCCAAGGGCGGTCTACCCAAGCACGATGCAGAGGCACAGTTTCCGAGCAGTTCGCGTAAGCTGCCGGAATTCCAAAAGCCCGATTCAACTGAGGGCAACTCGGTGCTGATCAGACATCTAGAGCCTAACCGACCTGACATAGCCTGGTTCGAAACTGAACATCCGCTTCAACGCAGCACTATAGCGGACGACTTTCCGGTTCTTCCTAAGATCATATTCGGCCCAGAGAAATCCTCCGTGGAGACCAAGGAGCCTGTAGACGTGGTCGCGAGAAAAGCTCTCAATTTGATCAGTCCGAGCGAGCCCAAGGAAGGAGGCCCATCCGTAGCCCCGAAGGATCTTCCAGTCGCTTACAAGGAACCACCACGCCGACCGTCTATCCCAGTGGAAGAACCTGCGCTCAAAGAAGAACAGCAGCAGCAGCACACGCCGCCTAACATCCCCCATTTCTCTCATCTGTTTCAAGATGGGAAATTACCTGATCCTGAAACACGCCTGGGCAAGTTGCTGATAGCACCATCGGAGCCAGCAGCTCAGCTCCCCGCCCTCCACCCATCAACAACGGCGAGCGCCGTGAACCATAATCTGCCCTCTCTTTCAACGGCATTGGCTGGTGTTACCGATGTACCACCACCTGCTAGTGCCGGACGCTTGAATGGCTCGTCTTTCGGCCCTTTGCCTCCAGTCTCAGCTTCTTCCCCCCCGGTGTCAAGGACAGATCCTGTCTGGGAGCACCAACGCTTAGGCCAAATTCCGCCTCCTCCGCCACAAGTCCCGCCCAGCCCCTACTCGCACTTGTCACCGGCAAGCTCGAAGGATATGTCGGCTATGTCGTCGCCCGCATCCCAGCAGGCTTACTGGCGGCCGCCTATCAAGGCGGACATAACGTATCTCACTTCAACGTATGAGACTGCACCGCAGACAGCCAAGAGCCCCGCAACAAGCTATCCCACCCCGACAGATCAGACTCCAGCATCCACCTGTGATCGGTCATACAATCCCCCCACGCATCCGAACGGAGCGGTCTCCACAGGCACGTACAAATGCCGTCACCCGGGCTGCACTGCAGCCCCGTTCCAAACACAATACCTGTTGAAGTAAGCAGTCTCACGTGTACCGGCCCCGTAACCCAAGCTTATCGCATGTACAGCTCCCATGCAAATGTTCATTCTCAGGATCGTCCGCATTTCTGTCCCATAGCTGGCTGTCCGCGTGGACCCGGCGGGAAAGGATTCAAACGGAAGAATGAGATGATCCGACACGGCCTCGTCCATAATTCGCCTGGATATGTATGCCCATTCTGTCCAGACCAGCAGCACAAATACCCTCGACCGGACAATCTGCAACGGTAAGACTTTACTCGAATGCATAGATTATTATACAAGCCAGCTCACAAGTCACCCCATCCAGACACGTCAAAGTCCACCACGTTGACAAGAGCCGAGATGATCCGGCTCTTAGGCAGGTTCTATCGCAAAGGCCAGAGGGTAGTACGCGTGGACGCCGCCGTCGAAATAATGTTCCGTGAACCTATTACCCATATAGGCCTCATCATCATTTTCATCATCGGCTCAGCGATATGCTCTAAAAGTGCAGGTTACCATTATACGATATTGCATTAGCGACAGCGTCCGTTCGCGTTGATTTATCCTGAGATGAAGGATTGACTTTCTCAAACAACCGTCCATGCGACGGTGTGAGGATAACGCAGTCAATACTTTTATCTGTTATTATCGACTATCATGGCATTCATGTATACTGACTGCACATGCATTACGAACCTTCCCACTAACTAAGCAATCCACCCATAACCCCCTTCTTTTCCACATCTATTCGACTACCCCCTTTTCAGTGATACCAGATGTTGTTAGAGCCTTGATCTACTTTTTATTCACTTCGTTCATCTTCCTGCATTGCTCGCATCATGTCATTCGCTTCTTGTGTTCGAATAGTTTGATTCCCCCGTTCGTCTTGCTAAGTAATCTGGCGAAGTGTGCACGGGTTTGTACAAGACTTTGCTAGTGGGCGTTTTGCCGTGTTTCTTACTTGTTTCCCTCATCTTCTCTTTACACCGTTTCACCCCTTTTTCAATTCTTCATCTTCATCTTCGCTTCAGATTTCCAACTACCCAATTTGCGACCTTATCTTACTTTCCCCTTCGCTTCTTCCTCAGACTATACATATAGGAGGTTCTGGCGTCCTCATCTTCCTTTTCTTTTACCCCCCAAATTTATCATATCTGTGGATGGTAACGAGAGGCGTTTTATCGATGGTTTCTTCAATTTCCTTTTATTTACGATGTCTTGATTTGAATTTGAATTTACCCCATTTGACTAGCTACCTGAACCGGCTAGCTGGCTACATATGAATTGAGATCAGACGATTGGGAAGAAAATATATTTCTGCAACTAAGAAGGAACAACGAGATTCAGTATATCGACCAATTTGGAGTGTGAGTGTTGTAGTGCTGTTTAGTTCACACCACGTCAGAAAGCATAAAATTGGCAAGGCTGAAAAAGAAAAACCAAGAAAAGTGGGAACGTCTCAAAAGAAGACACGTATAAGTACAGTAAAAAGTAGATGATGAGTCAATTTAGTTGGTAAGGTAGTAAGTAGTTCTCAGAATTGCCTGTCACTGTCCCGCAGTGCTGGTGGCCAATTTTGCCGTCGCTTGAATTTCCAGATGAAACCAGGTAAAAACCAAACCAAATCAAATCCAAATGATTCCTTTCCTCAAAAACCAGTAAATCGCGCCGTTAGTCCCATTTATCTCCATACAGTCCCGGAACTGTGTATATCCCGTTTGGTTTTGTTCAATAGAAAAAAATGTTAATGTGAAAGTATTTTCATGAAGGGGAGGGGCAGCAGTAGGAAAGTAAGAAGGAAGGAGGGAGAGAGGATGGGAAAATTATAAGGGTGAGGAAAAGAGAAATCATCAAGTCTCCCTCCTCTTATGAATCCTCCTCACATGATCCTTCATGTTGTCTACCCTACTAAATACCCGCTGACACCCGTCCCACTCACAAGGTATTTCTGGGTTGTGTTTTGCCTCATGTCGATCTCTGTCTTTCTTGCTGGAGAACCCGCCCCGCACAGCCTGCGGACACCCTTCGTACCGGCAAAAGAGATGTTTGCGGTGACGATTATAGTGTTTCCGGAGATCACAGCCCCGACGGAAGACGGCGTGTGATGAGCAGCCGGGATATGCGCAGCGCCAGGTTCCGTCGGGATTTTTAATGCCGTAGTTGGTTAGATCTCGCGTCTGGCTGCGGGCGGAGGAGGTGTCGGATAGGGATTGGAGTTGGAGATCGTCTAGATCGAGGTCGAGATCAAGCTCGAAGTCAAGGTCTGCGGTGGTGGCGGAAGATAAAGATGCGGTGGTTACGGGGGTTAGCCGTGACTGAGAGAAGGAGGATGGAGCTGACTCTGGGAGGTAATAGTCTGTATTTGTAGGGTTGAGAGGTGACTGTGATACTGCTATCGCGAGCCATTCTTCTTGATCGATAGGGAAGTATGCACCGTCTGTGGTTGGTATGGCTGGGGGAAAGGATTCAATATCGGGTCTGAATGACTGTGGTGGTATGGTCTGATTTGAGAATAAGGGTGTATAGGACTCTTGGTCCTGAAAGTAGTGGGTTCCAACGTCTGGTTTCCTTTGATGGAGGGGCTGTGCTTGGTCGAAGGCGTAGGGAACTGACCCAGACATGCTGCGGGCATCTGACAGGGGGGCCTGTTGAAAGGCTATAGCGGGAAAAAGATATGGCTGCACCTCTGACGACATCGTACTGTGGGTTGAGGAGCCGCCGGGCACCATCAGCATGGCTCTGTTGATTGTAGTCCTAGAGGTCATTGCGGATGGTTCGGAACTGGATAAAAGTGCCCTGGACACGCGGCTGCGCTTGTTCTGAGGCTAATCAGTATGGGGGGATTTATTCCGCCGGGCACGGGTCTCACCAATGTATCTTTGTCCATGGACGTACCTTCGGCGGTACTTGTAGTTCATGTATCGAGGGGACTCGGGATGTCTCAGTGGGATGAAGCCTATTTCTTTGAATGGTTTGTCACAAGTTGGTGGGCTTGGATGCATTCTGGATATTTAAAGCCAGTAGAAGCCGTGGTACTCCAACATTCTTATCTTCAGGAGTGTCTCGAATGTCAGATGTGGCTATGCACATCCCCCAGGGCTGACGGTCAACGGGTAGCTGAGCGAATCTCTTCACAGATGATCAATAATCGGGATTAGGACGTCGATGTCACTGTACCATTGACTTTGGTATTGGCCTTCATCGCTGGTGGCTCCCACGTTTGCCCTGGAAATGCAGCTCGGGATTCCCGTGTCTAAACTCTCCAAAAGCCAAGGGGAACGTTTATTCGGCTGCGAGGTGATTGGTAACTCGAATAGGCATGCAGAACTAATGAATTGTCATGCACTGCGGCTGAAAATGTAGAACCAACCCTATTCGGATGACACATTTGCTTAGAGACGATCCATCCAATCTGAGGCACAGTGCCCAAGCAGATCAATAGTAATGCTCTGTTTTTTGGTATGTACGTTTTCTTTTCTCTTTGCCTTTCCGGTTTACCGTGCCAAAACAGGACTCTCGCGGCTTATGTAGAAGTAGCAAGTGTTCCATTGCCGCTTAAGTCCGACTCTTTGATAGGGCTGAGGTGAAGAGCGTCACAGGATACTTCCATAAGGCACCAGACAAGTGATGATGGGTAATACAGACAGTTCTGGACATGAGGATGACGTTTGAGCCCCAATCCAGTGGTTGCAGGACCTTTTGCTCGGCGCTGATAGGGCGCGTCCGTACGGGGAGTCGGCGGACCAGCGTATGGACGGACGAGGCTGCGCGATGATTGGCTGTGTCGTGTACTTGTTCCGGCCACTGCATCGTACATATGCATGCGGAACTCTCTGGTTTATGGGGAACTTGGATGGAAAGTCTAAATGCCGTCTGAGCCTCAGCGCCGAGCGACAACCTTCTAAACAAAGTTCCAGGTGATCCGATCCCAGGATGGCCCAACAGGGTAGGAGGCAAGGCAAAAAAGGCATCAAACTAAGAAAATAGTCGGCATACGAGTCATATCGTTGGGCAATGTCCCTCGCCATTGAAGGTTGGACGACGTCAACTATTCGCTATATTTACTTGGACGGGTAGGTCAGGCCCCCACGCTTATTCCCAAAGGGGCGTGCATTTCGACGCTATAACCATGGCTGAGAATGCAGATCATTTTGGCTTACCGCCAGATGGACTTAAGCCTTTGTGCCCATGATCCCTGCCGTCGGGCCTTGGTTGCCAGTATTTCTAGGTGACGGGGCCCCGGGACTGGAGGATTGCACGCAGGAAGGCCCGGAAAGAGGGTCGCTGTCAGCATGGACCGGGTGCCAAAGAGCGGTGTCGCCAGGTCCAGTAGTCTTTGAGTCTTCTTGGACTGACCTCCATCGAGTTTGCAGATCTGGCCTAGGCCGGGTTAGATCGCGTGTCACTGCCATGTTACATCGCGGTGTGGATGTGTAGATACACTTTCGCGGAGAGAGCCAAAGACATTGTTCCAAAAATACATTGTCGCAATTGATAAGCCGTTCTATCATTCCTCCCCAACCAACACACATGACTATTTTGAGCTTCGCATGGTCATCCAGGCCGTAGACACTGTATACGAGCTACAGCCATTTTCCCAGACGGTTGCTCCGTTCGGCTGTGTTGGCGGAGAGGTCTATGAGGTCATACATGTCACAGAATCTCAGCCTCAGTCATCATCCGACCGAAAATCGTAAAAGCGAAAATTTATGTCAACCAGCTCGATGCTCTTCACATGACACACAAGACCCTCCAAACAAAAACAACGTGCTTATATTCAATCCATCCAAGAAACCGGGACCGCCGACGGGTCGGGGCCGCCGAAGCGTTCCAAATTTCTGACATTTGACCACCACGAGAGACGGAAGTCTAAACACTAACTGCGCCCGGGCTGTCCGTCGGACACGGACAACAAAGGAGTCCGATCACTCGGGTTCCGGTCCTTACCGCTATCGTCCACTGCATCTCTGTAGAGGATATAGTGCTGTACCACAAAGATCAGATCGAAAAAGATGGTAACGTTCGACAAAAGGAACTTGATGGGATTTCCTGTGACTCCACTCCAGTCATCTTGGAAGCTAGAATCCAGCAGCAACTGGGCAAGGGATAAGACACCCCCAGACAAATCAAATAAGATCTGTCCGATACTCCAGCCGTATGTGGATTTACGCTTATAGTTAACCCACGCTTGAGGTACGTACTTCACGATGGTGATGACCAGTTTCACGTAAGAAAGGGCATATATCTAGATTGACCCAGGAGTTAGGGGTTAGAGCACATGCGGGATAGCCATTTCCAAATCCTTGGGCTACTTACAACATCGATCCACGCCCAGGAGTATGGGTCATAGCCGTTATTTGGGCTCTGACCGAGAACGATGAAGATCACGATCGTGACGCCGACTATAGAGCCCCAGAAAAGGCCTGCTACCGGCTTGCTAACTTTCTGATGGCGAGAGACCTTGAACCCCCAGATGAATGGCCAGAACTGTGTATACGTGATGAAGCTAAGGACGACAGCATGTAGGGCGAAGGCAAAGTCGTTGAAGCGCACGGTCGGGTCCTCAGCAAGTGGGTGACGAGCAGCATATTGATGACGGATCACGGGAGAGTAAAGGAAAGCGGAAGTATATATGGTATAGCACACGAAGCCCAGCACGTTGATGGTAGGAAAGTCGATTGCCAGCCCCGTTGTCGACCGTCGCCGGAAGTTGTTGATCGGCTGGGGATAGAAGGACGCAGACCAACAGAACGTGCTGAAGAGAGGTAATCAGTATGTACAATCTCCTGAAGTCTCACGCCTGTCGTGATAGTATCTTCCCTGAGAACTTCGGGCTTAAAGACGTACTATATCCAGCCGAGTAGGCTGCATTGCCATGGTGTGTTAGTACATTGTACAAAAGAGATAAGGCGAGAGATTCAGAGGGAAAAAAAACATACCGAGAAAGCGCCCTCACGAAAATCTCTAGCTGAGTTGCCATATTTAGCTCCTTGTAGCTCTCCTGCTGTTTCTTTGTATAGGAGGGCGTAGGAAGGGCACTGCAGCAAGATGGAGAGGCTATCTATATGCCTCAAGGAGGGAGGATGGGGTGGATCGCTGGCGGAGAGAGCAGCTGATAAGATACGGAAAGCACGCGATTGCGGTCACCTGGCCTGACCGCTTTCCCAACTCTGCTGGCTAATTGCTGGAGTTGGGTTCCTTGCAAGTCTGGTGGATCGGTTCCTGGGTGGATTAATTGACCTAAACTTAGTACTGCTGCCTTGGTCGATGCGCGAGGACCGCAGGGTTAACTTAACAATCAATACTACAGAAAGACCAACGGCCTCACTACTATTGATCAAATAACTGGGATCGGTGCTCTGGAAATCTCCAGCAAACATGGAGCAACACACTGACCCTGCTATTTGGATAGCAACCAGTTTTCGTGAGACTGTGTCATCAGTTAGTAGCTGTGCCCCAGCTTCCATCGGGATCAGTACGTCCATTAATTAAAGCATCGACCATCGCGAATAAAGTAACTCCTTGATCTGCGAGGGTCCGTTCAATCGTGTCGATGACAATCATACTCACATACGCAGGCGGTCGCCCGCGGCAGATGGCTGAGTCAGCTGGTGGTTGTCCGGGATATACGCTGACGGGCTAAACCGCATATGGAAAACAGTTGTTGCGATGAAGCGGCTTGCTTGCCCTGCATCTCGATCGTTCGGCGGTTATCCGCTTCCCTGTCCCACGATCCGTTCCTCTGCTTCAGTGCTATTCTTTCTTTTCATCCCATCTAAGTGGTCTTCATTTGTTGGCTATACAGGTTGGTGACCTGCCACGGTTCTCTTATCCCTGTTACCCATACTACCTAGCCCTCCCCCACCCTCCATCTATACCTATCACTCACCGCTAGCTTCTTATTCCTCGAAAGATAAACAACCATTGCAACACTGGGCTCGGTCGCGTTTTAGCCTCTGCAAACAAATTCCCCAGGAACTCAAGTCGACGCCACTGCTATCGATTTCCTTCGACCTTTCCCATCAGCGCATGGTGCATTCTTCGGAGTGGGGGATCTCGCTAGATCTCCGTCGGTAGTTCGAACATTCCAGTGTCAATGAGATCGGGAGGAATCCACGTCAATCGGAAATTATAAGAGCTCAAGGTCTCCAGCAATCATGACGGCCGACTCTGGCCTCTCCGCTGCGGGGAGCAGTACCTACGCTTCAAATACACTGCATGTCGGCGATGGAACGTGGGACTCGGAGCGCGACACATATCTCCTCCCTAATCTGATGGGTATCAACTTCGACACAATGCGATACAATGGTTAGTAAGGTTATAGCTCTATGAGGCGCAAATACGCTTACATATGTTAGGAATGGGAAATCGATTCAAAGATATGCCCGAATACCATACCCTCATAGTCGTTCACGGCGTCATCGCTACAATCGTCTTCCTTTTTCTCGTCCCAATCTCTGTCTTGATCATCCGATACTACTCTCGATGGAATCCTTTCTGGGCCTTCAAGCTGCATGTCTGGTGCCAGGTCCTGACATTGTTGCTGAGCACCGTCGTGTTCGTGTTCGGTTGGTTCGCTGTCGGTCCAAAGAGAAGCCTGACAAACCCGCATCACGGTATCGGACTTGCGATATATGTCCTAGTGATCTTTCAGATTCTGTGGGGCTGGCTTGTCCATAAGATTGAGAGGAACAGGAGGAGTTACCATGTTCCCTTGAAGCTTGTGGTATGTTGCGTGGCCGTTCGATGTTCCGCCCTAAGGCTAACTTCTACATCACAGATTCATCGATGGATTGGACGCGCCCTCGCCATCCTAGGTCTTGTTCAGATACCATTGGGGCTCACCCTTTATGGCTCGCCTAAAGTGCTATTTATCCTCTACGCTGTTGTCGCCTTCATCCTCCTCGCAGTGTTCTTTGTGCTGTCATATCTATACGACACAGAAGGATATCACATGGAGAGCGGCGGATACGAAAGCCGACTCAGCTATGTCTCAGGGCCCTCGGCTGCCGATGATCATGGTCATAGTAACCTCGGACCCATGGCTGCCGCAGGAGCGACCGGAGCTGGCCTGGCTTCGCTCTTCAGACGTCGTTCCAGAGGCAGACCACACGATTATGACGAATCGCATACCAGTTTCTCAGATGAAAAGCTTTCTGATGAAGGACCACGGCGTGGTGGCAAAGGGAACTTACTTCTGAAATTAGGTGCAATTGGCGGTGGTGCCTGGCTCGCGAAGAAATTCTTTGACAGAAGACGCGAACGAGACAACGACACGGAGTCCGGTCGATACAGTAGAGCTCATACTCGGAGCGACAGCATGACCGAAGAAAGCTTGAGTAGACTGGAAGATGGGCGGCGACCCGAGCCAACAGCGCATACTCCTCTCAACCGTCCACCAAGCAGACCTCCAAGCAGACCTCCCAGCAGACCTCCCAGCAGACCACCAAGTCGACCTCTAAGCCGTCCTCAAAGCCCAGGCTCTTCGTACCTGTACAACAGCACCTATCTTTCCGAAGCTCCCCCTCGCAGGCCATCCCACGGACTTCGAGACGCTCTTCTCGGAGCGGGGGCACTTGCAGCGATCAAGGGCTTCTTCTCGCGTCGCAAGGGCGACGCAGAACAACGTCGCGTGGAAGAGATGCGCCGTCGGGAGATGGAAGACGAGCGGCTAGCCCGGGCCAACAGCAAGCGGCGCTACCCCGGAGAGGGCTATTACCCAAGACGTGACCGACCGGCATCATTCACAGCCACGGACCTTTCAACAGACCTGTCCCGGCCACCCCGCGGTCCGCCGCACGGCGAGTCCATAGTCTCAGCAGCGGGACCCCCAATGGCATCCGGAGCAGTGGACGGTGCACGCTCAGACATACCGCCTGCACCAGGGCCACCCGTTCCCCCACCAGCAGCATCGGAATACCCAGGACCAGCAGCATCTACACACGGTCCTACAGAGCTCGCCTCAGGAGTAGCAGCCGGAACAGCCCTAGGTGCTGCGTCATCGGCACATCGCCGTCGCAGCGCCAGCCGTCACCGAAGCAGCAGCCGGCCCAGGAGTAGCAGCCGTCACCGCGATCCCATCGCATCTCCCCCCGTTTCTGTCAAACTGAAAATGCACAACGACGGCCGCCACGTTACTCTCCGGAGACTAACGGATGAAGAAGCTGCCGCCAGTCGCGAAGCGAGACGAAGAGAGCGAAGGAATTCCCGTCGTCGCGCCGGCAGTGCAAGCTCGCTATCAGGAAACGAAGGGGGCTCGTATGACCGCTGGCGCCGTGTTGAGGAGCTGGAGCGCCAGCAACAGGAACAGATGCAACGAGAACAGGCTGCGGCGGCGGCGGCTTCCTCGGGCTTCCCAGCGACTTCTGCTGCTCCATCATCAAGTATGCCTCCCGCCACGTCCGCCTACTATGCACCACCTCCTCAGAACGGAAACGGGAGTCATATGCCGCCGCCCCCGCCGCCCCCGGTGCCATCTAGCCATCCTTATGGGACAGGGAGTATCGCGTCTCCGGGTACATTTACTGGGACGGAAGCGAGCGGGGACTATGCGAGCAATCGTCGACGAAGACGAGCGGAGAGAGCTCGAGCACGTCAGGAAAGACAACAGCATGGTGTGGAATTTACTTGATGAAACGGTATCTCCTGCTATAACTTATGACACTTCCCTTTTTCTTTTCCTCTTCCTCTTCCCCTGTATAGCAACCTTGATGATTTCATGCCCATTTTCTCCTTGGTGTTTAGTTCCTTTCCGAGAATTTGCTTTTTTCTTTTTGATTTTACCCCTTCATGTCAATCTTGAAATACGTTATGACGTACAAGTGCCAATGACTCGCCGTCTCGGTTGTTGGTTCTTCTGGAAACTATGATTCGTGCTTGTTGAAAATATCTGTGCTCGGGAAGAGCTTCTTGTCTGGTGATGTCCGGTAATGACGCTATGAAAGCAGCCATGCACAACGGTTGCAATGAGCAAGGGAATGGATATGAACTGTTGGTTTTGTTTGGCTATTGGTTTGTGATAAGATACTGCTATGAGGGAATGGACAGTGCTAGCTCATAGGCAGTAGGAGTCGGTGCTCCTTTAACCGTGATGTTTTCATTTGCCTTTCCGATTCCTGCATATAACGGTTGCCATGTCGTTCATATTGTGATGCTTTATTGTCCTTAATGAAAAATAAAAATTTGACATCTTTCACGTCTGCAAGGTATCGTCAGTAGCAATTGGAGCAAGATATCATTCAGGCCATTGATCAAAAAACCGCATGTTGATCTCTTGCGCTCTGGGTCGTGTTAGACTCCCTTGGGTGAATGGACAAGCTGACGCTCAATCTCTCTAAAAAATACAGAACCGGAAGTCCGATGAGTCTCATGAAGAGTCGCACAAAGCTAATCATGACTCCTCTGGACATACGGCTCCGGCAGACGGCACAAAAGCCCATGAGAATCCGCATAGCGAGATACGGTACTGTAATATCAGCCCGGAAGAGACGGGTGGCATTTTTTGACGCAGCAGGTAGGTTGATCTCTTCTTGTCCTTGATGTATTGCAATAGACCCCGACGTATTTGACCATTTGAAGCTCACACTGTATTCGTAGGATGCAAATCCGAAACGTGGGTGCTGAAGTGATCGCTGCCCAACCAAGGATATACTAATAACGCCTCGTTCCTTAAGCTTCGATAAGTGCGAAACCCAGCTAAGTAGCTTCCCAAGCCAGTTGCCTATGCGCTTCACATTTGACTCTCGTGCCTCTTGGGGGCTTGACAAGGCGTTACTGTGGTCCCGGACGCATATCTTGGCAGGGCTCGACTTAGCAATCCTTGAATCTTGGCGCAATAGCAAGCCATCAATTGAAGGCCAGGGGCCGGGGAACGGCTGGCTCAGATCGTTCTTGGTGAGGTAAGACTTTGCGCCACGTTTGGCAGGCCGGGATAGATATCGAGATGGGCCGAGCTTGGGGTCGCTCCATGGTTTCCGTCGCTTGCTGATATCATTGTCCATACCTTGCAGCAATCTAGGTGCCAGCCATTTGTGACCCCCAGGGCCGTCTCTCGAGGCAGGCATTGGGCACGGTGTTGAATTCTCATATGACTCGAAGCCGGCAACGTCAAGGTGTGCTAGGAACCGTGGTTTAGGGGGTCTAGGCGGTTTCCACGCTGATTTGGCCTCCACAGGACCGCGACTATTGCGTTCAGATAAGCTTTTCTCGTTCAGTATAACGAGGGTTGTGTTTTCCGGTCTCGCTAGAGACGGAGTCCCTCGGTCTAATGTGCTGCAAGGTCCGGTTGTGCTCTCATACCAATTTTCAAGCACAACTGAATCATTGGATAGATCGGGCAATCCTTGGCGGTTCGCCGTGTCCTTATTAAAGAGAGCTCCCATCATCTTGTATTCTGAGGTTGAAGGGTTTTTCGAGTGTTCTTTATCCACGTCCATTGGAAATATGTGGAAAGCATCAGTATCATGAGTATCGCTGCGGGTCATGATCGGGCGGGCAGGACAGTCATCTGGATGTTTATACTGGAGTTGACTCGAAGAGTTTTGGGGATTGTCCGAGCCTTCACAGAAGGGATATTCCAGGTCACTGGACTTGGGCTCCTGCATGATTGCAACTGGCTTGGTGAACGCAGACGGCATCATTGCCACCCCAGAAGTGAATCGTTTGCTTTTTTAGCATCAACTAGGAAGCAAAAGGGCCAAATGATGCCGGAATTAGGTGTTGGGCAAGTTAGAAGGGAGTAGACGAAGAATGGAAAGAGAATATGAAAGGCTCCCCTGAGCTATGTCGGAAAGAGCGATCCAGGCCTGTAGCCGAAAGGCATCAGCAACCAGTTGATCAGCCAGACAATTTTCAAGATTAGATATTTATGGGTCTCTGCCCCGAAAGCATGCAAAAAAGTGTTTCATGAGAATTGCTATAATTCTACAGGTTCAAAGTTGAAGTCGCGAGTGGATATGTACATCAGGTATCTATTTGAGGACGGCCTGCAGGCTCTCCAGCACCTGTTTTTGGTTGTCAGTCAGAATGTTCAGGTCTTGTTAATGGTGTTTGTCTTACCTCAAGCTCAATCTTGGCCTCAGCAATATCCTGCTCGCTGCCGCTTCCGTTGGCAATCTTCTGGGCCTCGGCGATCTGGGAACGGACGTTCTGTGTTGAGGATTGACAGATTAGCACTGCGCACAGGGTAAAGCATGATCGGTTTAGAACCTACGTCAATGCTGAATTCCTCGAGAGGGAAACCCTCGACGGCGTTGATGCTCAGCTGGGAGTCGGGCTGGACAACGGCGAAACCACCAGACACTAATTTTCATAAATAGTCATGTCAGCCTTGCCCTGGACACGATGTGTAGCGGCTGATGTGAAAACTCTCGGCCCGCGGCACAGGTATCAACACGGTTGGTCGGACGTACGGAAGAACTTCTTGCTGGCACCACCCTCCTCAACGATCTCAACGAGACCGGGCTTGAGCTGCTCAATGGAGGGGACGTGGTTGGCGAGAACACCCATCTCTCCGGATTCGGCGGGGATGTTGACCTGGACACTATATGGGAAAGGATCGTGAGTATGGGGCGGTCTAGGGTGAAAGACGGTCGTCCAATGAATTCGACCTATTCGGAATGCGAGGCTACATACACGCCGGTCGACTTGAAGATAGACTGTTGAAAGGATAAATTGTCAGTATCAAAAGTTCGTGCAGGTGCACAGAAGCGCTCAACGGAATCGGAGTCGTACCTGGTGAGGAAGGGTCAGGGAAAGCTTGATCTTGTCCGACACAGCCTCGGCGTAACCTCTGCGCTGGAGAGGAACGCGGAGAGCGGAGGGACGGGCCCTGAAGGCAGAGCGAGCGAAGCGGAGAGAGCTCATCTTGCAATGGACGAAGGGGGTGGGTGGTGATAGTATCCCTCTTGAACCTGAGTTGGGAGTTGCAAAGGTCGAAGTCGGATGCCGGTTGTTCCCTAGCGGCTCGGGCGGTCACGTGGTGGGCCACGCGCCAACAGAAGACCGCCGTACTCGGTTGCTGCGTTGACCTGCACAACGCTTAACTCCTTGTTCTCCGGCTATTGACCTTGGGTATGGTATGCGAAGATCACTCTCTGCTGAGGGTGCGTAGCTTCTATCTAGATGCATACTGGGCGTGAACCTACCGCCAGACTTGGTTGTTGTTACCACGTATTGTACAAGCCTATGCTAAAGAGTCCTACAAGCTGGGAAAGTCAAAGCAGTCTAGGCGCGTAAAAGGAATAGAAGATAAAGCCATCATTATCAATATCACCACAGTCATGTCGAGTCTGATCCAACCAAGTCCGCATGTATTCAATACTGGGGGCCCCATGTCAATATCACGTGATACTCGGCTGTCAACATTCCCGTCGTCATAACTATGGACCGGTTATCCATCCATATCTCTAATCTCCAATCGATATCAGACTCTCAGACCTTGTGATTAAATGGTTTGCCAACCATATGCTTTCTGCATTGATATCTAAAGCACCGGTCAACACGTGCTCCATTGAAACTATTTCCCCAGCATTAACTTCTAACTAGTTAATAGCCGACCATACTGTTAGTCATCAATCACGGGATTCCATGGTGCCTCAGGTATCAATACTGTCCCCAACATTGAAGATGCGCCACCATCTCCATGAAGGTATTATAAGTAGCAGACACAGTTTAGCATTGTAAGTAATTTCATGTAGTTAGCACTCGAATCACAAGCACATGCAAATCTAGGCCCTAAGTCGGAACAGTTCCCCCCAAGCAGTAGCTAGATAAGTAGACCTACAGTGAAGAGACACCGGACGGGCAGGACGCTAGCCGTGCTCGGTAAGCGAAATCCCACAGAAAACCAGCCCTAGCCGAACCTGCCTTGGGGACTCTGGCCTTCCGCTCCGTTCAGGATAACCTCACCCGCCAACTCCTCGTCAACCGTCTGTTAGTTGCGACAAATCCGACAAGATGGCGAGTACGTGACACCCCTTTTGCTCCAAAATCCTCGAAACCCCGTTATTTTCGTTTTCCCGTCTCTCATGGGCGGGGAATGCGATTATCGACCATTGCAAATCGAAGAGTTATGTATCGCTGACATGAATTCCCACAGAGTCCAAGAACGCGTCTCAGCACCACAACAGCCAGAAGGCTCACCGTAACGGGTGCGTATTATAAGCCGATTATCCTCCTACCTCTTTATTTGTTCCAAGAATGCCACACGAAACGCCAGAGGACGAATACTGCGATGTTGGATAGAGGACGATATCTTCGACAGATTTGAGGCTCAGAGAACGGATAAGGAAGAAGAGGATACTCAATGAGGGAGGATATCGACCAATATCCAGCATTCAGCATATTCGTCCTCGGAATCAATACAACAACTACAACGAACGCGGGAGAGAGATCGGAACACTGACCATCGCCTTTTGAAATCAACAGTATCAAGAAGCCCAAGACCCACCGTTACCCCTCCCTCAAGGGTGTCGACCCCAAGTTCCGCCGCAACCACAGACACGCCCTTCACGGAACCGCTAAGGCTCTGGTACGTTTTGTGACCGATCCAACAAGAAACTTGTTGGCCAAGCCAAAAGGAATCGACACTAACAACCCTACAGAAGGAGCGCAAGGAGGGCAAGCGCGAGATCGCATAAATTACTTCCAACTAATATAGAAACGTTTTAAAAGAAATGAAAGCGATTTGAGTTGGTTGATTTGCTTTGTTCCTTTCCTACCGACAAACGACGACAAAGGACTGGTCGAGAATACATGGATGAGGATATCACATCCCGTCGGGTTACCCCGCAAGACCGGGTTTGTCACATAAAGCAAATGGATTCGGTTCTCTAGTGTTGCTTTCTTGGCTTCATCTATTCCCGTGGCTGGTGGTTCATTTGCTTTTCTGACGTGCGGTTCTCATACCGTAGTGTGGTTGGTGGTGAAGTTGATGATGAAGTTGGTGATGAAACAGGCATATGTGTGTACAGCTCCGTGCTTATCTTTTCCATGCGCGCTTGCTGAAGGATTTATTTACGTGCCGAGAGAAGACCCCATGCCCTCCAATTACCAAACACCCTTTCCCTTTGCTCTACCGTGGCGAGAGGGTGCATGGACGGAGGGCTACATACAGTCGTAGCCCATGTAGGTTGATAGTGAATTGAACTGAACTATATGATATCGTTTTGAGAAATATACTATGAGACTGTCCCTTATAACCTAGAGCTTCTATACTTCTCACTCAACCTTCCAAACGACCAACCTCTTATCAAACCCCCCACTAACCAACCACTCCTCCCTCTCACCCCCATTCTCCCCATCAACCCACCCCGCCCAAAGCGTCCTAATCTTACACCCAACCTCATGCCCATCCTTCAACAACGTCACAACCTTCCCCGTCTTCACCTCCAACCCCCTCACAACCCCATCATCCCCATTAACCCACACCCCCGACCCATCCGGTCTCCACACAACCTGTGGCGTCGAGTACGCCGTCTGCGGCGCAAACGTATTCGCCTGGATCAGAATCGCGGCGTCCTCGCGATTCTGCAGCGACAGGGCAGCGAAAGCCTGCGCCGCTTGCGTTGCTGGCTCCTGTTCCTGCTCCGCCGAGCCTGACTCCAAGCTCTCTGCTGAGGGGAAGAGCAACCGCACAATCATAACTTTCATATGCGGAAGAGTTGATGTTGCGATGGCTATGAGTCCCGGGTCATGAGGGCTGAGGGCCAGACAGGAGGGGGAGAAGGCGACCCAGGCGTTGGAGTGCGGGGCGAGGTTTTGTTTACCGATGAGAGGGCATTCGTATCCGGTGGTTGAGACCGCTGACGGTTTGACATGGTAGTAGTATAGGTTGCTTGAGTCGCGGCGGGAGACGAGGAGGATTAGGTCCTGAGGGTTGTCGATGTGGGTGGTGAAGAGGATGGATTCGGGATTGGAGAGTAATGGGATGGAGGCAATGGGGTCACCGATTTGCGTAGGGGCTTCATCGTTAATCTGCATGCGGTAGAGGAAGATCTTGGAGTCCCAGCCTGCTGTTGCAATCCAGATTGTCGTAGTGGTGGAAAAGGTGTCTGCTGTGTCGTTGTTGTTCTTCTGTTCGTAGGCGATGACTTTGACCGCGTATTTGGCGTGGTCCTTGCGGCGGTCTATGATTTCTGCGCCTTTTTGCAGAAGAAGCTGGCCTGACATATTGGTCATGAGGATGTATTTCCCATCTTGGACCGGGATATACGATAGAATTGGGGCCTCTGATGTGCCCGTGAATGACTGGACGAGGTCATGGCCAGGAGATGTTTGGAAGAGATGGAGGTGCTTGTCTGCGCCGGTGGCGATCAGATATGGCTCTGCTTGTGCATCTGGCCTTTGCCATTGCCCAACGGAGCATGCCAGTAGGTTTGAACTGCTTGGCGTTTGGATGATGTTGGGCTTGGTGGGTGCTGTAAGAGCAGGTTAGTTTCTAGCTTCTAGCGGGGCATGAAGGTGTTACACAGACCTGGAACGGTCCAGACATCTTTGTCCTTGTCATTGTCACCATATCTCTCGAAGTTCTTACTTTGGTCATAGGCTTTCTTCTCCTCGATCAGATTCTCGATGGTCCAGTTGGTGGCATCGTCTTTGCCGCTCTGTTCTCCCGCGTCGGACGGGAGCCCCGCTTCTTGCAGGAAAGCTTTGAGTGTTTGCGTGTAATTGTTTGTCCGTAGAAAACGGGCCACGAGGGTGCTGGCTAGTGGGATATTTTGCGATGGGGGTGGCATTTTGGAGGTTGGGCTGGGGTTGAGCAACGGAATGTACTTTGTCGAGCGATAACTGGGGGAAAGATATATATATCGGGCTAGTAGCTTCATCGCTCCACTCGAGCCAGATCTATGTTTCCGACACCGGATTGAAAGTGGCCTGCGCAAACAGACCTCCTGAGCACTACGCTTCATGAAGATACCGCATCTAGTAGAGAGGTAGGATGTTCTCATTGGGCATAGGCTGAAGTACAAAAGAATAAAATATATATAGAAGGAAAGATTGGTATCACCGATGTCAGCCGATTTTATCGAACTTTGCGCACCACCATCCAAGCAAAAGCCGAGCGACAACCAAAGAGAAACCAGTCAGGCAAATTATACACATAGCAACATGACATGTTGCTTGCAAAAAGGTCTGCCCGAACCTAAGCCCTCAGCTAAACATGTCCTCCGCCCTGCGTCGTGGTCCTCCTCGCCCCTCAATCTTATCGGAAAACAACTCCTTGCCTGCGTTGGAACCGTATTTATTAGGGAACAGTTCACGAACAGACGCGCCCCGTCCTTTGATTGAGATGCCATTTGCCGCACCACGAATCGACATTCCCTGATCCTGCCTTGCTGCCCCGCGGATGTTGAGACCGCTTGTCTCGGTCGTCTCAGGGAAAAGCTCAATGTCGCGCTTTCGGCGCGCAGGTTGTTGGTCTTGGCTGCCATCAACAAGAGGCACTGAAATCCTCCGCGAGAAGAGATCTGCCGTCTCATCTGCGCCATCGATCGCGTCTGAACGGCGATGATTGCTAACTTTTTGAGGAAAGAGTTCCTTGGCTGTTCGGTTCGGGAAGAGCTCCCGCGCATTTGCATCGCTGCTTTTGGCTCCCGAGGATGGGAAGAGCTCCTTGCCTTCATTGCGGCGACCGAGCTGGGGCGACCGGTCGCGGAACCGTCTGCGATCCTGCCGATCGTCCTCAGCATACCCGCCTTCCATCAGTGTATCTCGACCGGGTGACGCGCTACGGTTGCGAAGGCGACCAGACAATCGTCCTTCTTCCTGTGGGAATAGATCGCGCCCCCCTCGTCTTCCCCGCCTTTCGCGACTGCGGTCCGACGAGCGGTCGCGGCTGGCAGGCACCGTGTCATCATACATATTGGCACTGAAGCTCTCGCCTGCATCACGGTCTCTCCGACGTTGCAGTTCTCGACCATCAAACCGTCTTCGTCTATAATCCCCGTCACTGACGTCTCCACCTCCCGAGCGTCGCCTATCTGCAAATTCTCGTCGCAAGCGTTCCCGAGGGTCATGTTCAGGGTGCATGAGGTAAAACCGACTGGCTTCGTGCGCACGAGGCTTTTTGCGATCCGCTTTGACAGCTGACCTAACCTGGAGCACAGAGTCGGGGTGGGTAGAGAGGAGCTTCGCGGATCGCAACCGTAGAGCAGGCAACGCGGATGCATCCTCCTCCTCGCTAACCTGCGTAAATGCTGACAGAGCTTGAAGACCAACCTCCGGCGAAGAGTATAGGATGTTCGCTGATGTGTCATCGATCCATTCAACGCGGCTTGGCTCCTCAAGGGCGAAGTGTTCGACAGCGAATTGTTTGATGTTGTCTGTCGTCAACTCATCTACACCGCGTATATGAACCTTTTCATACTGTGCCTCCTCATTAAGAGGGTCGATGGATCCATCTTGAACAGCAGTCGTTGCCACGAGAGTTTGTTCCTGGACAGTCGACGAAGACGTTAGGAGTGGACGACTGGAATCTGTAATAGATCAGACAATAGTAATACTCACAGTCTCAATTGGTTCTGCTTCTGGAAGGGGTCCAAGATCAATGTCCATGTCAATATCCATGGAGGCGTCCATTGTGTCAGCAACCGGGGCAGCGTTGGAGGCGTCTAGTTGAAGAGAAGGCTGTTGCGCGCTAGCTACCTCCATTGAGGGAGGAAACTTAGTCGGAAGAGGCGGGTATTGGATGTAATGCCAAAACAAAATGAAAATCAGAGTAGAGTATCTTTAACAAAGCTCGATGGCAATAAAACAGAGAAGAAGAGGGGCGCCAAGGAGGCTGAGATGAGCGTAAAGTGAAGCCGAAAGGAAGTTGTCTTCTACACCGCCCGGACCAGTCGCCGGCGGAGTTTCGCCGCTGCCGCAGGCGATGATGTCGATGCTCCCTTTGTCACTTCAAACAGATGATCTACTCGACTGATTCTCAACTATCAATCAAATCTCAGAGAAGAGCGCGCTTATTCTGTCGATATTCACAGGTCCTCATAAAGCAGGTCAGACTGATCACATAGCCAAGTGCTGTCCATGACACTTGATGATAGTCAGTGCGACAATGACGACCTTCATGTCAAGCAACACATGGCTAAAGCTGTCATTGAGCTGCTGGTCACCAGTGGTATCTCAGTGACTCGGGAGTAAGGTCATGGCATGCTCGTGAAAAAACTGTGCCAAACGGGACAAAGTTATCTGACTAGTCTGTCACTGCCTACAACTGACCCTGAAGCAACACTCCTATCGACATCAGGACATGCTTCTGATTCTATCATGAACAATGATGCCAGCCTTTCCACACCGAGAATATAATTGCCATGAATATGCAGTTAATCGGGGAATCCTGATGCAAGGAAGAGCTGTGGTGGTAACCAAGTTGATAGTGTCTCTCTAGAAGCTTTGCAGTCTGCTCACATCACCAGTTGCTATCGCCTCACTTATGGTGTGACGAAAGTGAACATGGTTCTTCCCTATGTTTTCAGTATCCACCGATGAGAGGTTGAACCCATGCTTCCAGCTATATCGTCTCTCTGTCCAAGCCAACGATACGATGTGACTGAGCGGCCTGCTCAGGAAAGTTCTGCTCCTAGACGGTAGCATGTGCTAATTCACAAGAGAATGACGCTATGTTATAGTGTTATATAACATCGCTGGCGATGTCTTTTCGTTTGTTCGCAGCCCATCATTGGAAGTCTCTCATTTAGCCTCCAGCAAGTGATATAGCAAGCCACGTACTACCCTAGCAGATGGTTATCAAACGGTGCCTCAACTTCCAGGTCACTTTCTTGTTCTGATCCACCGTCTAGCAAACGGTGAGGCCCGGCTAAAACCCGGGGTTACCCCCACCGGAGCTCCGGGAGATGCAATCTTTGATCATATGAGAGCCATTGCTTCTAGTTTTGTTGTCACTCCCGCCATTGCCGTTGTCGAATGACGAGTCTGTTTTACAGACTCTGATGGGGTTCATACACCTGATCAGCGTAGCGCGCCGTCGCTTCGCAGTATGATGGGTAACCTTACCGGGTTGTCGCCCCGACGTTCCTGCTGGGCTTAAACCACTGCGATATTGAATACCACTCGTAGATATCGTTGTAGCGTAAAAGTGTAAGTGATCCGAAATTTAGAGCGAACATCATGGTAGATTAGTCTACATTGACATTGAAGGCCGTCTACAGCAACAACGGCTACCGCCGGCTTCTTTTCAAGACAGAACCGTGGATCCATCCACCTAGGATAATATGATATAGATCATTCTAATAATCTAGCAAAGAAGCGATGATGGGTCGACTCAAGGTAGAGTCAAGATAGCATTAATGCAATCTTGACCAGATGCAGGCCTGTGTTCCCGCCTTCCCCGCTTCTTGTCATCTCGACGCTTCCCCGGAACTTCACCTCCTCATTCAAGGAATGTGGCGGTTAAGATTAGGCTATATTGCCATATTCCAGTCCGATGAATGCTATTCGTGGACCAAAACGACTTCCGATCTCTTGGCCGGAACAAGTCACTCGCTTTAGAGCAGTCGTTTCTCTACGCTGCCTTTTTTACTGGACGAAGATGAAGCTGGTCAGCAGCATGCCCGTCGTGGCGTTGGTAACACCGTGACGCAGGCAGCGATGCGGCCATAGCAGAATACTTTGTGTCCTTCTCCTAATTGGACTGCATCTGTTCAACTGTTAGTGTCAATGCTCTTGCCTTGGGTTAGACCGGTCATCGTGAGGGGCTGCAATTGCACAGCATGTTCAAACACCCCTCTCAGTCTCATTTCTAGACTGACAGATTTAAATCAATTAGAACCCTTCCCATACTCCTGTGACCTTCAGAGCCTACATTCTTCGCACACCCACCCAGACAATCACATCAACACAATGCTGTACGCCGAAGACAACAAACTCATCTTCCGGTTCGACGACCATCTCCTCTGGATACAGCCATGGGGCGAAAATGCACTCCGAGTGAGAGCTACCAAGCTGGCTTCCATGCCCACCGAAGACTGGGCCTTATCCTCCAAGGTCACGTCAATCGAACCTACCATCAGCATTGAGGAGCACAAAGACTCCAGCATTACCAACGGCAAGATCAAAGCCACCGTATCCCAGCGCGGCAAGATCACCATCTACAATCAAAAGGGAGAGAAGCTGCTCGAAGAATACGCTCGCAATCGTCGCGATCTCAAGGACCCCAAATGCAGCGCACTAGAGGTCGAAGCTCGCGAGCTGCGACCAATCCTAGGAGGCGACTTCCACCTAACCATGCGATTTGAGTCGCTGGACCCTAAAGAGAAGATCTACGGAATGGGCCAGTATCAACAGCCGTTCCTCAACCTCAAGGGTGTAGACATCGAGCTAGCGCATCGGAACTCCCAAGCCAGCGTCCCCTTTGCGCTCTCCTCCCTTGGTTACGGGTTCCTGTGGAACAACCCGGCTATCGGACGAGCTGTGTTGGGAACGAATACCATGAGCTTTGAGGCCTATTCTACCAAGGTGCTCGACTACTGGGTCGTTGCAGGAGACAGCCCGGCTGAGATCGAGGAAGCCTATAGCAAAGTCACTGGCTATGTGCCAATGATGCCCGAGTACGGGCTTGGGTTCTGGCAATGCAAGCTGCGATACTGGAACCAGGAGCAGCTTCTTGACGTGGCACGGGAATACAAGCGACGAAACATACCACTGGATCTCATCGTCGTTGACTTCTTTCACTGGAAGCATCAAGGAGAATGGAGCTTCGATCCTGAATTCTGGCCGGATCCCGGTAAGTTCTCCACATACATCTAGATATATAAAGAACCCTTATTTCAACAACTAACACAACCCACCACCACGCAGACGCCATGATCAAAGAACTCCAATCCCTAAACGTCGAATTAATGGTCTCCGTCTGGCCAACCGTCGAAAACGCATCGACCAACTACCCCGAAATGCTCGAAAAGGGCCTCCTAATTCGACACGACCGGGGGCTCCGCGTGTCCATGCAATGCAACGGCGACATCACCCACTTCGACGCTACGAACCCATCCGCGCGTGCCTACGTCTGGAGCAAAGCGAAACAAAACTACTACGACAAAGGCATCAAAGTATTCTGGCTCGACGAAGCCGAACCCGAGTACTCCGTCTACGACTTCGACCTCTACCGGTACCACGCCGGCAGCAACCTGCAAATCGGAAACATCTTCCCGAAAGAATACGCGCGGGGGTTCTACGAAGGCATGGAATCCGCAGGGCAAACCAACATCGTCAATCTCCTACGGTGCGCCTGGGCCGGGAGCCAGAAATACGGCGCCCTAGTCTGGAGCGGCGACATAGCATCCTCGTGGTCGTCGTTCCGCAATCAACTAGCGGCCGGGCTAAACATGGGTCTGGCAGGGATCCCCTGGTGGACGACAGACATCGGGGGCTTCCATGGAGGCGATCCGTCGGACCCAGCATTCCGGGAGCTGTTCACGCGGTGGTTCCAATGGGGGGCATTCTGTCCTGTGATGCGCTTGCATGGCGACCGGGAACCCAAGCCCGAGAACCGGCCTACGGATTCGGGCTCCGATAATGAAATCTGGTCGTATGGTGAGGAGGTCTACGAGATCTGTAAAAAGTACATTGGGATTCGCGAGGAGTTGCGCGATTACACGAGGGGGTTGATGAAGGAGGCGCATGAGAAGGGAACGCCCGTCATGCGAACTCTGTTTTATGAGTTTCCCGCTGACAAAAAGGCGTGGGACGTCGAGACAGAACATCTCTTTGGCTCGAAGTATCTTGTTGTGCCGGTGTTCGAGGCAGGAAAGAGGTCTGTTGAGGTGTATTTGCCGGCCGGGGCGTCGTGGAAGGTTTGGGGTCAGGAAGATGTGATCCATGAGGGAGGGAAGGAGATTCAGGTGGACTGTCCGATTGAGACGATGCCGGTATTTGTCAGGGTCTGAGTCTCGTGAATAATTTAGGTTGCCTGAAGGTGATGGCTGGATGTATCGACGGGGAGGTATAGCCGGAGCAGGGTTGGATGTATCGATTTGCAAATTGTCAGAGAAGGGAGAAATTAGTTCAGCCAACATTCACTAAGTAATCACAAATGCAATCTGTCAGCATGTGTATGTGATGGACTCTACACCTTAGGTAACTTACAATAAGTCGCTGGGATATCGTAGCCAAAGTGCATCGATCCATCAGGTAGCAAGAAACAGTAACTAGGGAGGGGCAAATGACAAATTCAAAGGCGACTTAGATGACCCTTTTTTTTCAATACTTGGGTCAATGGTTTATTTCGTTTCTTTTTTTCTGCTTCATTTTCAGCCTCGCCAAGGAAGAAAAGCAAGAAAGTCGCATGGATGGATGCTTCGACGACTGAATCTCATGGCAAAAGCGTGGCCACTATCGAAGACTAGACAAGTAGCGAACATTCTACAAGATGAGTCTGGAAGCTCTCTTAGATTTCTTCATTTTCCTCTTCGATCGATCTAGTGGCGACCAGGGTCTCCATGAAGATGTCGCCAGTAGCCCCAAGCGTAGCCACAAAATTGAGTCCAGCTTAGCCACATGGCCCAAGGTTTGGGTTCTGGCAGGAAAAAGAAAAGGGTATGTATGGCTCAGCCCAGCCACAGACGTATGGATTTATCAATAGGAGGAATAGTTTCTAGTCTGTAATAGGCGGAAACAGGGAAGACGCAGGAATTTGTCCAGACTGAACAGAGTTTGTGTGTTCTCCCTATTCGCTTCCTTCTTCCTTTCCAGCCAAGAAGACAGTTGGCCGTCTCACCGTTGGATATACGAACGGGATCGATTGGCCCCCAGAAGAAGTACCAATGTCACAAGTGGAAGTCTGTGCAGAGAGCTATGACTGCTGCGTCTAGTGAACCATAACTTCTGGCAGCGAATCGAAAGGCCTCGCGCGGAATTATGTAACCATTTCAGCTTTCCTCACGCTTCAACCAGTTTTCCTAGCCACTGTAGCTCCGGAAGAGTTGACTCAAAGCGGCCAGTGCAGTGCATATCATGGGTCCTGGTGGGCACCGTCGCATCGCTTGCTTTCTTCACACTCCCCTTATTTGTTCCTTTCCGTGCCGTCTGGCAGGTATACTCCCGAAGTCTTCCCTGACGGCTCGATTGGAGAGCCAGGAGCGGATCGCCAAAGAGGGGGAGGGTTGCCTAAAGAGGAGTTGAGGGTAGTGGAGATGGCCTCTGACGGAGTAGTTCGTTATGGAGCCGTACGTAGACGCCGACTCGGCAAATGCACGGTCGTCAAAGTCATCGTAGCACGGCTTGTGCAGAAGAATCTGCCGTTCCAGACCCTCTTTTCATTTATTTCTTTTTCCCTCGTTGGTCTCTCGGTTACCTTTGTGGGTTTTTCCTTTTTGCAGAAGAAAAAAAAAAAAAAGGATTGAGGCCAAAGCTTAACCCTGAATCCTTAGGGACAAGTAGTGCGACGCCATCGTTTCCATCGTTCCTATTCTCAGTATCTCCCCGGGCTGATGTTAGCAAGCGATTGATCCATCAGACCCCATTGCCAGTGGTGCGACAAACCAACCGATCCGACACTCCCTAGTTCCAGTTTCTGACCCGGATGTGCCGAGAATAGGCCTGAGGGCTACTAGAAAATGGTAGCCTCCGCAGAAGACTGGGGATTTGACGGGAAAGAAGGGAAATTAAGGAAGAACGGGTGGCTCCAAGGCCATGGAAACGGACCAAGATTCAATCCTTCTTGGGAGGAGGGAAGCGGCCGCTGCTCCCGGGCACGCGGCTAGCTCGTGGGTTCTTTTTCTTGGTTGGATGAGGACGACGGCACATCCACGGCTCCAATGGTCCTTACCTCAGCGCCGGGACTGAAGGCTGAATGGGTCGTGAAGATTGAGTTTTGACCGGGTAGATTGGGTTTATTCGGGTGCACTGGCTTGGTCTGGTTGGCCCGGAGGCCCACTGATGTTCCTGCCACTCGCTACAGTCGGTAATCCGTGAACCATCCTATTGATGATTCACCTCTTGGCCCCAGATGGCAGGGCCTCCCGTCCCAGGACGTTAGTTGTATGTTACTCTGATCACTCTCTGACCACCACGGGACCTAGGCTGCAGGTGCACACTCATCCGTTGGCACCGGTCACGAATAAACTTCTTTGACAGCGGGAGTGCCGTGGAGAACGAGGCCTGGTAACGGCTTGGATAGAAGCACAACGGGCAACGCTGATGCTGATGCTGATGTTGATGATGTCTTGTGACCCCCCTCCAGTTACCAGCTGATTAGAAACGCTGGGAATGGAATCAAGAAGGTGTGGGTGGTGGAAAAAGAGAGTTTCTCACTCGATTTGTCAGATCTCAAGGAAGACTCGAAGCTGGTTGCATTCCAGTTTCGACAAAAGTCAATAGTGCCGTCACATCACATTAATCTGCATTGGTCCAGGAATCCACCACAACCACCACCACCACCATACCAAGACATGGGATCAAGGCGTCAGCTGCATTGGAGAGAGTTCACTGCAGCTCTGCCATGGTGGTAGTATCAGTGACAGGCCGCGTCAACACGACGTATCCGACCTCTAGGATGCGCGATGGGGCTTTCCAGATCTGTGGAAGGGGTAGTACAAGGAAAGTCCAAGTAACTCTAGCTGAGCACATTGTATATACATGGAGGATGAAGATGATGAAGATGATGAAGATAGTATTTTCTTGAGCTGAGGAAAAGAGAAAGAGAGAGAGAGAGAGAGTAGTTCTTTCCATCCCTGTACTCTTTCCAGCTCAGGAAGTACAATACAAACACAATGTGTATGTGCCTCGCCTATGACGAAAGAAAGAGCATTACACAACCACTCATCACTCCAAATATTTTTGCTAGCCATCCATGTATAGTATCAGTATACATCATCCATCCAACATCTTAGATACATCGAGTTATCTACGGGGAACTACCTGGTTACTCTGGCAGACAGGCATAGCTAGTTCAATACCCGACGCCAGATGTATACATACGTATGAACTCTGGATTAGATACTGGAATAGTTACTATTCTGACGAAAGGGTGGTACTGAGGGAATCCTGCGGTGTAGCCATTATCGCGGCATCATCGCCTCTATCCCCTTAAAGGGATTCGCAAGCGCAAAAACGAAGCGGGGGGAGGATGGTAACTTCGTGGTGGCAGTGAAGTAACTGGGTGTTTCTACTTGGTTACAGATACCAAGTAATGGGTATTGGATAGATACGGTAAATCCATACATCAGTTACCGCGCTGAAGTAAGGTAACACAACCCCCGGTGGGGATCCTGGTCAGCCGGGAGGACGGGGCACAGCAACTCCTTTGTCACACTAAACCCAAAGAGATAATCGGGGCAATGCCCAGCCGGGCATCTGGGAAAGATCGGGGAACTCACATGGTCCCCGAAGGGGAAGACATAAACCCCGATCAGAGAGGGCATCCAATCACGGGCTTTCCTGCCAATTCTTGCTGCGTCCTGTATGTACCCTTCAACACATTCACCACTCCCTCACCCCTCCCCTCTTCTCAAATCTCCACCTCCATCAGATACCGCGCGACGTCATGGGTCTCTAACCATCTACTCCATACTAGCTAAACGATGGGAGCCCTTGACTGGGTACTACCGGAATTGATTGCACATTCTCCGACGTCAGAGGGAGGTGAGGACAACAGAATACCTACACACACGTACCTTAGATCTGGACCGCCCCTCTCGATCCATACATGTTATCACGGGACGGGTTTGACCGTTTTTTTGACCATGGATCAAGGTCCAGGTGAACTCCGGCCCCAATGCTAGGATACGGAAAACGGATGAACAAAATAAATTCGAAAATTATAACTAGGTGCCACCAAGCAAGGATGATAGGTAGAGAAGGATGCAACAACATAGTACGGACTCGACCTATCCTCGAGAATGTTTCAACACTAGTTCAGACGATGTAGGTAACTTACGATCGCAACCGCCAGTTTACTATTACTGAATGAAGACAATGAATCCTTTTCATCGTCCCCAGGTACTATGTTCCCCAATTCTAATCATGCGCCGGTATAAATCGACAGGGCATGTGTCGGGACTGTGGTACACAAACGGGGTCTACTGACTCGGTAAACGCATGGGAGAAAAAAAGGAAGAATAAGAAAAAGAATAATAATTTCGCGGAAGAATTATCAATAGCCATGCGTTATCTATCTCTAAGATACATGAAAGCGTCGAATTCAACAAAAGAGAAAGATGAATAGCAGCGTAATAGTAAACTCGTTATTGTCTCAGTGATTATTTTCTGTCTTCTTTACCTGTCTTGAAATTCCATTGGTTCCTCACCCGCGGAAGACAAGAGACTCCCTAACTGACAGCGGTGCTCGGACCTCCTGAGGTTCGCAGATTTGGAGGCCCGACAGTCAGGAAACAGCGGCGGGATGCGAGAGAGCCGTTCGCTCCACTCTTCAACTGACCCCCCCATACAGGGTGTCCTGCAGTCGGGGATCCCTGCCCATCTGTCTTGGTCTCTCTCACCCTCTTTCTTTCTCTCGTTACTGGTTTTCTTTTCTGACGGTTACACGACGTCCTGCAGACGCTGTGTGCATGTATGTATGTGTGCGTATGGAGGGACAGGACGCAAGGTCGGTCGCGGTCGCGGTCTCGCTTAGAACCTGTTGTCTGTCGCTCACTGTTACATTTCTATTGACCTTCTGTAGTACGCGAAAAAATAATAAAAAATCTGCCTTGTGTCCCCCTCAAAGAAACCATATTCAACTAAATCAGTAGCGCACAGTTAGACAGGTACCAAAATTAACATCTTACGCTTCAAAAAATAATATCAATAATAATATCGTGGAGCCAGCTGAAGATTTAATATATTCAGCGGCCAGGCACTGCTGAATATATCCCGAATATGGCAAGTGGCAGGGAGATCAATCAAGAATCCCGAGTGCTGCACGCTAAAGGTATGGGTCAACCAGGGTTTATCTCAAATACTTCCCGTGTCTCTGATTGGCAACCCAAGGCCAAGGTACATCGGGGACCATCGACCGGGGTTAAACAAAGTAGTTAGACTAGACCGGGCAAGTTAAGTAGTATGTTGGTCGTAGCACTGTACATCATCGTTACTAGGATTTAGACTCTTGTGGCTCCTTCGTGATATATTCAATAGTACACGATTCCTTCTGACTTACTTTTGCTTCCGTCCAGCCGGGTCTATAGTAGGTGGTGGTCGCGATAGAGGTGGAGTAAATCCTTTTATTATTATTATTATAATTATTTACCTTTCATGTATGTAGTGATGGTACCTTACAGCTGTGTGGAATTGAAACTGTTGGATTGGTCATATGTATAATAAGTAGTTGTCCATCTGCCTCAGAAATATATATTTCGGCGGGCCGCTGTGGTCTTTTCAAAAGGACGATCACCTCTGATTTTCGTGGTACTTAATACAAAGTACGGAGTAATAATAACTAAGTAGTATCTTTGACAAATGACGTACGTATGTCGACTCCAGTCTCTTGAAGTACATTAAAAATAATGGGGGAGTCAACTTACTAGTAGTAACCGAGTAAAAAAGCTGTGTAAGTAAGGCGATGTATGACTTGTTCCTGTAAGTAAGTAAATATGTATGTAAATCCGTTTGTTCGTTCGTTGTGTACACGGTACTCCGTACCACGAGGTAAAGGTAGGCAGATCGCAAGTACCCGTCCACATGGCAGAATTGTAACCCTCCCACGACGTACATGGCGTTTGACACCGCTCAGAACCACCTCTTTCCCCCTGTTTATTTATCGGAGTCTACTTACGTAGAAGTTCAATAGCTGTGGAGGGATTTTTGTATTTCATGTGAGACCAAGGCTTTTTTTTTTTTTATTTAAATATCTGTTTCCCGGGGTAACGCCAGTTTATTTTTTGTAGATTCGAGGTAAGCCCAGGCGGGCGGGAACATACGTTAACGGACGTTGACATGGATGGGATGGGATGGGGTTCGGGGACCTGGAATGTAATGGAGGTAAATGGTTGTGTATAGTATCTATCCACTAATAATTACTGGGTCACAACAGTTGACGGGATGCTTATGAGCGATTTGGTTGGCGGTCCGGCCCACAACATGATTTGATTTTTTGTTCAGCTTGTGCGTGTGTGTGTTTGTGTGTGCGTGTGGAGGCAAAGACAAGAAAGAGAGGGGGGTGTGGTGGAAAAGGAAAAATGACTAAAAGATCCAAAGAAGGAGAATGCTATTGTCCATTGAACCTCGTTAAAGCATAGCTAAAACACTATCGCGAGCCGAGACCATCAATTACATTTCTCCAGATCGTACCTGTCAATTGCATTAATCTCGCCTCAATCAAGATTAATCTAAGTGCGTCTCGTCCTTTTGACGAGGTTGCAAAAGCCTACCGAGATCGCTCTTTTCCCCCTCCCTCCCAAGTCCCCGATCATCATTCCCTGGATAGGACTAGCCCCGCGCTTCCAGAATGACAAATACCTTATTTTGGCAGACCAATCAGCTGCAAATATGGGGCAGTGGTTCGTCACGTCATGCAGTTCTCAGGACTTCAGGTCCTCAGGGGTTCGTGCTTACTAGCCTGTTTAGGTGGGTTGAGGAACCAATTGGTCACTGATACCTCAGTAACTAGGCTGCGGTACTACCAGTATGGCGGTATTGATGACAATTAGGCCCGACCAAGTTACACTCCAACCGTCCACACAGCCCTTCCTTCGCTTCCATCCTTACTTTACAGGAAGCATGTAGTAGGTTTTTCCATTGCGCGCTCCATGATTTGATGACGTTCAACGGCTTGACTCGTGGCACTCTTTCCCCTGAGGTGCCATTTTTTTTCTTTCCCACCGGTGACTTGACACCTGTAAGCGACCTCCGTCAACCGCGCCTTGCTAAGAAAAAATGGAGCTTTGAATTTCCGTTGAGCCGGTGAAGGTGACATTTGGTTACCCACAAAGCATTCCGGTAAGAAATTATGTATGTCACTACTTCCGAAACGATGTAAGGCGGGAGAGGGGGGCCATCTGTTGCTCTGTGCTGTAAGAGAGAGAGAGTGTGTGTGTGTGTGAGAGCGAGCCTGTGGCAAGACAAACCCAGCCAATACAGGTCGGATGACCCCGATAATTTCTTTCCCCTCCCCCTTCACACGGAGAAAATCTTTATCAAATTCCATCAGTTCGGGGAGAGGCTAGGCAGGGAAAATAGAAGCCTGGAAGATTTTCTCGGAGACGCCGATGGAGGGTGGTGGTGACCTGGAACAATAGTTACTGCAAGAAGAAACGACGCATGGCAAAACATGGCGATGCCTTCATAGTTGCTAATAGTTTGGACGAGAAGAGTAGATGATAGACCTGCAGAGATGACTGCACGATGATCTGGATCCGATCGTCTTGAACATTTGACGAAGTTTATTGTTCCCCCCCTTCCCAGTTCCCACACCACTGGGAATCGAGGACACACTACGAGGGCCGTCGATTCGCCAAGCGCTCTTACATCGAGCACAGAGTGATCAGCCTAGATCGCCCAATCGCAGCAACGTTGTATCCGATCGAACAAATAGCTCCGAGGGCAAGGTTTTGGTGGATGGATGGCAGGCGAATAGTACTAGTAATCCCATAGTCTAGGATGGTTAACTTTAGCTTCTCGAGTTGACCCCATCCATTCCCACCGCTTAGTATGACAGCGGGACGGTACCGGCGCGGTGAGCTGACGAGCACTTTACTCTGTATGGCTTAGGAAAACAGGTAACCCCTCATAAAGGCACTGGTACTTTCCGTTGGTCACGATACATTTGGAATCTTCCGACCTTCCCCGGATGATCGTGACCAAAGTCATCGTAGAAAGGACAATATACGGGGCTTTTTTAATTTATGTACGCACTTCGTAGCTGCAGAGCAGGGTGAGGCTAGTACCTGGCTGGGAGGGCCATGCTCCAGGCGAACAGCCAATGAAGAGGCAGAAGGCCACTCTGCCACATTGATGGGCAATCCCGAAAAGGGGGAACCTGAGGATTCCATGAGATCTATCATACTTCTGTTGCATTGCCTACAATGGTGAGTCTCGTCGCGGATCCCTTACCCGGATAGAACCCTGCAGGTCAAAGTGAGTCAGGAACTTGTATACTGGGTGCTGGTTGGATGGACCGAAGAAAATCTACTTACGTAGTAACCCATTTTTTCTCCCATCCATCTCCCCTTCTGTTTACTCTATACGGCGAATGGGAATGTGGTTCAAGCGTTGCGTCCGAAATAAGCGAGTAATAGTAATCCACTGCATAATAGTAGTAGGAGTAGTAAGTCGTACTTAGTACCTATCTGAGCCAACTGCACGGGCATCCACTGTATTGTCCTTAGCCAATCGACTTCAAAACCTTTATCTTCGTTCCTGATCGACTTCGAGATGCAGAAAATAACGACAATGAACCGAGGAGACGGGACAGCGGTCCCGTGTCTCTGGTGCAGAGGGATTCAGATCGAGTGGGCTAGTGAGCATCTGTGTGTAAGAAACGAAACGAAAAAGCGAGAAAAGATATCCGAGGCAATATGCCGTAATGATTGGTCACCTTAAGGAGTTAAGACCAAGCTGACTAACAATTCGGTGGTGAGAACGAGTCCGATCTTTGGTAATCTCTGGTAAGTGCGCTTGCCTTATGCCTGGCAGCCGGTAGCACCGGCGCGAAGGTACTCCGGCCCAGATTCGAGATTGCGTATGATCCCCATGTCGATCCCAACCCTCCCGGGTATGAGACAAAGCCAAAAGATTCCAAATCTTCAAAGGGCGCTAGCCGGCTCTGCACCAATCACTGCCCCCACTCAAACGGTTCATGTTCTGGGTAACGGCCCACGGGGAGTGGAGGAGGGATCAAGCCTGCGTCCGGTGCGGATGAGGGTTAGCGGCGGCCAATGGGCGCTACCAGCCAAGGGTGAGGCCAAAAGTAGCAGGGTTACAAATCGCTCCATTGGAGTGCTAACTACGTATTGTAGTAGTATCTATCTCGTACTTTACTCGAGGGTAAAAAAAGTGGAAAAAAAGGCCTTCATGGCTGGCTGATGGATATGGTCTCGAATTGAATTCCTGCAAGCAATAGTAGCTATAGTGGTGTTGGGAGGAGGGAAAATAAACTTACCTAGTATTTGGTAGCTGTGAACAATGCGCAACAAGAATTGTCATCTCAATAGTAGAAATCGTAGATGAAGCGCAATGTATACCTAGACTGGATAAGCCATGACTCGCTCCTTTGCCTACAATGGCCCTTTTTGCCTATCAACTTGCCTGGGGAGAAGAAGGAGGAGGGGGGGTGGTGGTGGTGCGGGCGCCTGTCCACGATCTCGGTACACCTTAACGCCATTATGCAACCACTCGGAGGTGCTCTTTGTCATTTTTCCGCATCTTTCTCAAATCGGCAATCTACTTCCCTGTCCCCTGCTCTCTCTCTCTCTCTTTTTCTCTTTTTTCCTGCCTTTCCTCCCCTCCATCAGAATTTCTAATTCCGAGGTTGCCCGCCCCGCCTGACTGACCCATGGAAACCCATCCGGTCAGTATGACCACTCCTATGCTCATTCGCCTACCTCCAGACCGTTTCTGCCGCTCCCGTTTTCCTGTCAGGGCCTGAACTTTGACGAAGCATGGGCCAGTCCATACTTACCTAGTAGTAGCAGTCGAAACTGGGTCTGGTGGATAGATCGCCCATGGTCTGCAGTCTGCCATAAGAAGCGGAAAAGGGCCGTGAACTAACCAACTAGGTTTGGGATTTTCCCGTTTAGTCGACGCCCGACTGATCGGTACCGTAGACTTGCTCGCACTTTTTCTCC